TGGCGTCTCAAATGCTGATGGCGATTCTGTCCGTTCATTACCCAGCCTTTGCACCATCTATCTGGCCCATCATGTGTTGCTCGAGTTTCGTCAGTGAACAAAACTTTAGAGAAGTCAATCTTCATATTGTCCTCAGCCCATTTCAATCGATTTTGAATGTGATTTCTCGTCAACGGAGGCTTCAATACAGGTTTGACTGTTGTTGCTATTTCCCTCAGATACCGACACCGAGTACTTTTAGACACAGTAGGATCTCCAATGCGACTGAAAAGCTCTTGACTGGTAAGTCCAGGGTTCTTCATGGCCTCTCGTTTAAGTCGTGACATGCTGGACGTGAAATAACCTTTTTTTTGGCTTACTTTATCTACCCTTTTGCATACTTGTGTAAACAGGATGGTAAACTTTTTTTCACTGTTTGATGACACCACCCTATCATTTTAGAAATTTCTAGGTTAGATTTACTTTTTGAGAGTTCTGAGGTGATAGTTTTCTTTTCAGCATCACTTAAACTGCTTTTACAGCCCATCTTTTCACTAAATTCTTACACTTTTCTAATAATTTGGCACGCTGAAATTACTGTGCTGATAACAAATATGGCGCCAGTTTGTTTACATTGCGTAGATCAGTATGAAAATTTCAGCGATTGCGCAGGTCGGTGTTGCCAATGTTGTGTGAACATTTTGTGTGAATTGATTGGACGGTTTTTGAAATATTAGAAAAAAAACGTTACCTCGATAATAATTTGGCACACAGTGTATATATTTGTGTGTGTGCATTAAATCTATTTTTTCCTCTATTTGATCACACAGAACATTTTTTTCTGGGTCATCCTATAAGTACATTTGACCCATGCCTGGCTCTCTACTGGGCCAATGTTATCTGCAAAAGCATTTATAGAGAAAAATGATATAAGATATATCAGTGATACTGTCAGGAGAGCAATGGATCAACATAATTTGATATTTTGGCACTTGATCAACTGATACTTGATCAAGTGAGGTCACTTCTTCTGATTCGGAAAAAAAAAAATAGGGGTCCAACCAATTTCAGATACATTGATTGAACTTGACGAAAGTACAGTTAAACCTAATACACTATATAATGAACGATGACTCACTAAACTTGCACAGCATCTCCTGGGTCTCTTTATTTGTAATCAGTCGATGTCTGAAGTAGAAAATTGTTTTATGGTAAGAATTGATCAGATAAGTTATAAAATATGTGCATACACACATCCCTTTTTTTTTTTTTTTTTTTTTTTTTTGTTTGTTGTTAAATTTACAAAGCTTTGCTTAGTGTAGAACAAGATCACAATGTACTTACATCATCTGATGTTCTTAAAGGGCCACTTATGAAAGCACTTATATGTAATGTTGTTTAATGATCAAATAAGAGCACAAAGCATAATTTTATTGTAAGCCATGTAGATATTTTTCTTTTATGTACCGTCTCTCTTCAGGACGTAGGTGATTATGGCTCTCCACAACTTCCTATTTTTTGTCTCTTTACTATCCCTCATAGTGTTTGTTCTGCCATCCATTAACAAGGTATATTACTTGCTGTTTCTTTCTACCCCCTCTCGCCTTCATTATATTCTGATTGAAAGCATACGTCCATTTTATTTACATTTTCTTTAAAATTTCTTCATTGTTCATATTTCATCAATGACATTCTCATCATACTTCTATAGAACCACATCTCTATTGCCTTGTCTCCTCCTTATCTGTAAGGAAATTGTCCCGTATTCACTGCTATGTAGGAGGATTGATATTACATAGCAGTTCAGTCTTCTTTTCTCTCTTTCTTAATGCTTTGTTTAGGTTTTGGAAGGCATCTTTCAGTATTCCAATGTACCTTTGGATTTTTGTCACATTTTCCATCATCCGTTAAAACGCTTCTCTACTTTTTTTATTTATCTACTTGTTTGATTTTGACATCTCCAGTTCATCATTTGTATTATGTAAGTCTGTGTTTTCACAATAAAACAACTAACCATTGTAGGTAAAATTTTCACAATATATTTATATGCAAAATATATTCTGTGAATTTCAGTTCATAACAACATCTACCTTTACTAAAAATACTGATAACTTCTTTTGAATGAGGCTTACTGCCATATCACGATGAAACATTGGTTCCTGTACAATCACCGAAGTTAAGCAACGTTGAGCCTGTTCAGTACCTAGATGGGTGACCACTTGGAAATACCAGGTGATATAAGCTTTTGATATGAGGGTGGTGTAATGGATAATGGCTCAGAATTGTTAATCGGCAAGCTGAGCTCCAATTTCAGTTTGTATTCACTTATGGAAAAATACCCTTGGGAAAGGTATGAATCCACCTCTTCTCCTCCAAGCTATGGGTTAATTAGTAAGACTTATATCACTAAACCATTATTATCTCAAAAAAATAAAAAATAATTACGTACTTTTGTACATAACTATTTTTTATTTTAGATTTTTTTATTATTTAGATTTCAGTATTAAATAAACCATAGAGATTGATATACTGTTAAACAAAACAGTCAAACCAATTCTTTTGAGTGGCGTAAAGTTTTATTATGCAAACAAAGTGGAACATGATTTTTTTATTCTTAAATATATCCAAAATATATAGACCATATAAACATAATTGATTAACACAATATACTATATACCTGAACAAATTATTATTTTACATATGGACTACTTTATATTCTACAACCTTCGTCAGTCCTTTAATTGTTGAATCTTTTTTTTAACTTTTCTGTTTTAACTTTAACCTTATTTGCAGCAGTTTTTGTTTCTTCTGGTATCTTTACTTAAATATTGTTTTTCTTTCTCAAATATATATTGATTTTGTATCTCAACTTTAGGAATTTAAGCATAGTACTAGATTGGCAGCTAGGTCTCTTCACTTTACAGGGCAAATAGCCAAATGTAACTGTATGTTCTATGCTGTTTCTTTTCTTGTACTTCTTGCTTGTGGAACTCTTTTGCTTTCCTGCCAACTTTGATCTTCAAAAATTTAAATGCAACATCAATTGTTATCTTTTGTCTTCTTGTTTACTGTTCTTTTATTGTCTTTTTCTCATATTCTCTCACACTCAGTAACCCCTTGGTGTCTCAGTGGCTTTATTGTCTTGTTTGGTGTAAAATGAATAAAAAAAAACATCACTTTTGATCATGTACAAGTTTTTTGTTGGATTAATATTTGGAAGGCATCCAATTCATTTGTGTAAGTGTTCTGAAAGCAAAGGAAATGTTTGTCACAGATTAATTCCACAACGCAGAGAACAAATCACTGTAAGTTCAGACTCGAATATCGGGGACAGAAAGAAATGCCGAAAACTTGAGTGGCAGGTACTATCTCACAAATCCCAATGAACATAACCAGTCAGAAAAATAACTCACTCGCTGACAAACGCGGTAACCAAAATACATTCATTATTTCCTCTTGATTCAAGAACACCAACCGCTTTTAAAAATTGGACGAGCAGTTTTTTAATTCGTCGACAACTGGGAAAGGATGCCAAGTATTTTGCATAACAAAATACTTTTATAGAGACTCCTGCGATGGACTTGTTTTTAATCTAAATATTCTGTTGAAATAGCTAGATTTAACCGTAAGTTCTATTCTAATAGTTTCTTCTATTGCACTTCTTGTCTGTGGAACTCTCTTCTAGCATCTTGTTTTCCTGTCATCTACAATCGTGAAAAATTTAAATGTAACAGCAGTTGACATCTTCTGTCCTTCTGAATCCTATTCTTTTATTGTCCTTTCTCTTCACTAAAATTTCTAGCAAAATGAGACAAATTTCTAATGAACTAATATATTGAGTCTGCTATGCAGATAGTGTAATTGGAGCTTTGGACAAGAAATTGCCAAACTCTTAAGTCTCCACCTTGTAGAATGGTAATGGAAAGATTTTTTTCAACCTCCTCTTCTTGATGATTGTCATGATGTTTTCAATGGGCTTTTTTTTTTATTTGATAGTGTCTCACATAGTGTTATTTGTGATGCAGTCTATCTAGGTGATGCTGAGAATAGTTCTGTAAAATTTCATATTTATTGCTTGTACTTCTGCTGCTAATGTCCAAGAGTTGCAGGCATCAATTAAGAAGGTCAGGACATGCAACTGTCTGATCTTTGTTTTCAGGAAAATGGTCTTTTTTTTTTTTTTTTTTTTTTTTTTTTTTTTCAAGAATGTCATAAAAATTAGTTATATAATTTAACGAACTGAAAAATTTTAATTGATAATATTATTTCTTAAATTAGAGAACAATTTTGCTGTCAGTTTTTAGCTGCAAATAACTGAGAAATGAGTAAAACTGAAATTAAGCATTAGAAAAATAAAAGGAATGACTCCCATCATTCATATAACACTCATATTTATGACTAATCATCTTTTAAATGTATTAGGATCTATCAAAAGTTACCCTAATCAGGCATTGACTTCAAAGTTTATTCTATGTAAACATGTACAAGAACTATTATTATTATTATTATTATTATTACTCATAATATTCATCATTGCTATTCCATTGTATCGTTTGTTTCGGATATTATCATGACAAATACAAGAATACAAAGTGCTTAACTCTTTATTTCAAGAACCAGATTCTACCATGTTTCATTTTGTCTTTCATTCTGTCTTTCACAAAATCATTCATATGACTAGTTTGTTTATAAAAATTTTTTTTTTTTTTTTTTTAATCATAATGGAACTAGAACAGAAACTCTTTATACCAAGTTTTTGTTTTCCTTCTTAAAATCATAATGGAACTAAACCAGAAATTCCTTAAAGTTAACTGAAGTAATCTGAAAAAGGAGCAATTTTATGCAATTGAAAGTAAAATTTAACACTATATTGTAAACATTATTTTTAATAGTTTTTTTGTAATTGGAATTACCATTTAAGCTAATAAATTTAAGTTCCATGTGCTGTTTGCTTTCAGGAAACTGGACGTCCTGTGCCTGCTGACCAACCCCTCGATACCAGCTGTATTGACTGGATTCGAATGGGCACTACTGTGGCCACCAATAGCCTGCTGGAAAGGAAAGGTGAAAGAGTGGCTTTGCTTATCACAAAAGGATTCAAAGATTTACTGCATATTGGGAATCAATCACGACCAAAAATATTTGACCTGGTAAGTCGGATAAGTTTTCTGTCATTTTTTTATAAGCCATTCTCATGCAAAAAAGAAGAAATCTAGGAATTAGCAGATATTATTTATTATTTTGTCTCTCCTAGAGATTCATAACTAAATAAATATTTAAGCGTACCAGGGCTTGTAAAGGTTGTTTCATTAAGACAGCTCAAAGTCAGCAGTAAATAAATTAGTGTTATTGGCGAAAATTTATTTCTCTCTTGGATCATGTTATTTAAGTCATGGCAATTATGTGTGAAAAATAATATCACCCAAATGTCCACCAAGGCTTCAGTGGCACACCTCCATTTGATGGTCAAAATTTTTTATGATGTCTCTGCATAGTTCCTCCTCGATCCCACCAATATGCCTTATTATCTCATTCTTCAGTTGTTGAATTGTTGTTGGCATAGACCTTACTTTTGAGATGACCCCAAAGGAAGAAATCTAAAGGTGTTAAGTCTCATGATCATGGTGGCCAACTGACTTTGATGTTTCAAGAGATGATGCAACCTGGGAACTTCTCATTCAAATTCTGTTTAAACGTCCATTTTCGTAATAGGCTTCAATAACTTTAACACATTGTTTGATTGTTAATCTTTCCATGGTTGAAACTGCCAGTGACTTAAGTTGTTAAATCTGAAAGAAAAAGAAAAAAATCATTAGATACTTAAACTTAATTCACATTTAAATTCAGCCCAAGTTATTGGAACATTTTTTATGAGTAAAATCTGTAGACACTTTTAAGATTTCCCTCACATATGTACAAAGACAGCAGTCGGAACTTTTGTAAACATACAAAACAACCCTCACCCAAGCTTTCTGAAAACTGGCCAATGGCCACCTCATGTTGCATTCTGATTCTTGGTGTTGTTGGTGTGCACTGAAAACAGAGGAAGGGCATGCTGCTTGTTCACATGGTGACATGGTGTAAGACAAACACCACATTGAGAAATAAGGATGCAAGCCCTGTTTCCCATACTATATGCTGTTTTATTCAGTGGCTAGGTAGGTGATACTTGGGATATCTTCTGCTATGTCAGCTCTTCCCAATGTGGTGGCTGGCAATATGAATTTGAGGCTTTCGAATTGCGCAATGAACTTGTCTGTCTCTCGTCAAGGGCAGACCAGAACTCGCCTTGAGTGTTAATATAAACCAACACCTAGATATACCAATTGTTTCCACCTGATCTCCAAATATTTCTTTACTTCCCATTCCCTTTTGGATGCTGCTTAGAAGACTGAACCATTCACTGGTCTGTCAAACAGAAACACTTATCAAGTTGAAACCACCTCTTCCCTTTCCACGTATCACAATTTTACCTCTGTTGAATATTAAAGGGAATTTGTATAATTTTCTTAAATCTTTTGTAAATTTCTTATTCGACAGGAGATATTAAAATTATGAGCCACTTCCAGTGTGCAGTTAATCTCCTTCAGGAATTAATGCTTTTGCAATTTCTTTTTTTTTTTTCTACTTAAGGCAATGGATTCTTTTTTTATTTTTTGGGGGGTATTAAGGCTTTTGCAATCTCTTTTTTTTCTACTTAAGGCAATGGATTCTTTTTTTATTTTGGGGGGGTATTAAGGCTTTTGCAACCTCTTTTTTTTCTACTTAAGGCAATGACTTTTTTTAAGGAATTAAGGCTTTTGTAATTTCTTTTTTTTTCTACTTAAGGCAATGTTTTTTTGTTTTTTTTTAAATTCACTTGATACAAAGCTTGAAAACCACTGAAGATAAAGGCTGACAGTCAGCAAAATGCTAAAACTGAATGAGGTGTGGAAATGTGGAATGCTGATAAATGACACATGACTTTCAGAGGTCTAGATTGAAGGGTTAAGGGAAGCATTCATACAGGAGTCTGTTCCACAAAGTGACGGTTCTTGGGGAAAAGTTAAGTGAAACTTTTCTTTGCAACAAAAAGGAAACCAGGATGATTCAACTCTGTGACAGTGACATAATTTGTCCTAGCTGTAAAGTCTGAACTGGTGGTATGGAGCTCATCTGAGCATTTGCCATGGAAATAGTAACAGAGTAATGACAGGCTTGCAAGGTTGTGTCTGTAAGAAATGGGTTGTAGAATGAAAAATAAGTCATCACTCATAAGTCTATGTAAATGACTTTCAATTGGTTATTTCAGAAGATATTCATTCTATTGATCTCATTCATTTTGTTGTTACCCACTTTTGGCTAGTCTATTTCATGAACTTTTTCAGGTTTACAAGAATATTTTCTTTGAGATGAGTTTAGTTTTGAAATTAGTATTCCAAGTTTGTTGCTTTTGTTTTACAACATTTTATCTAAACTAGGGCCGTCTTGGTAAACTTTTTCTTTCTCTTTTTTTTAATAATTTCACCCCAAGTAAGGCAATAAAACCACTAGGATGCAAGCAGTTACTGAATTTTAGAGAATATGATAAAAACTACTATCAAGGAGAAAGGACAAAAGAACAAGAATTAAGAAGATAGAAGATAACATTGATAATATGTTTAATTTTGATACCTGAAATTTTGAGATGCATTTATCTTTTCCAAATGTTTTCTCTTTTTTTTTTTCTTTTCTTTTTTAAATTGATTTTTTTTTTAATTTTGTTATTACACAAACGTTTCAGATTATCTAGGTATCCTTAGGTATACAATCTCTATTGGAATTGGTGGGGGGATTTTTCATTTTGTTTCATTTTCATATAGTGTAAATTTAAAAAAAAACACAATCAAATCATACATCCATCTTTGTTTGATCATTGAAGTTAAACAGTGTCTAGTTTGGTCAGTACTTAGATGGGAGCCACTTGGGAACACCAGTTACTGCAAGTGAAAACTGTGTACAAAACCTTACTTGCTATGGAAATCACAGCAACAATGCCCAATGTTGCTGAGAGTTGTACCTCCCTACAGTGAAGTCTACAGGACTAAACGAGGAGGAGGAGGAAATAAAAATAAAAATCAAACATATGGAAAAACGATGAAAAACATATGGATCAACTTATAATGTCAAACTTCACAGCAATGCATATAAAAACATCCACACTTGTTTGACTTGGACTCAACCTATAAAAATTCTTTTAGTAAGCAACAAAATGAATGAGTTCAGCTATCCAAACAGCTCTTGGAATGATAGTGACTCAAAATTACAAAAGGGACAGTTGGTTATGTTGGGTTGGAACCAAAGTACATAGTATTTTTCAACAGGTGATGTTGGAAGACATGATTTTCCACATGTGATTGAAATTTATTACATACTTACATACATATTCTGAAAGGTTACATTTCAATGTGTCTTTTTTATATGGTTTGTGTGTGGATTGTGAATTTTAAATGTTTCGATGTTAAAAGTGAAAATGGAGGAAAGTAATATACATTTTCATCATTTGTTGCTCTTTTATTTCTGGAAAGTAAAAAACAAATGCTGTACAAACAGCAAAAAAATGTGCCATTTATGGAGATAGTGCCATAGCTGAGAGTACTGTTTAGAAGTAGAAATTTTGATCTGCAAGTTTGAGAAAGTTATGACAGGCTTACAGACATTGATGTTGACCAAATTAAAATAAATACATAAAAAATTCTTACTCTAATGATTAAATTGTAACACAATAAATACTAAAAAATATTTAGGAAGTAAGCAGTGTTGGTTTATTGCATATGAATCTTTTCCTTCCTTAGAAGCCATGCAAAATGCACATTTAAGCAATCATGTCTCTTTACAATTCATGACTGACTTGGCAAGAAAATACCCAATAGTTAGATGCTTTTTGTGGAAGACTAGTTGCCAACCAAAGCTATAGGACCCAGTCTATTTAACCCATAGCTGCAGGAAGAAATTGATTCATTAACCTTTCCCAATGGTAATGTAATGAACTTGACTGGAATTTGAACTGGTTCTCCAATTTCTTATTCCAAACAATTATCTATTACATCTGCACATCAAAACTTAACAGCACCTGGTATTCCCAAGTGGTCACCCATCTGTCTACTCACCAGGCTCAACCTTGCTTAACTTTGGTGATTGGATGAGTATGGGTGTTTCAATGTGATATGGGCATAAGCATGTGAATAGATATAACAAATTTATTATTAATAATTCAAAATATCAATCCATTAATACTTCTTTATGTTCTCAAAATGTTAGATATTGATTTCGTTGACAAACCTAGAGAGGAAAAATATAACATTTTAACACATCCCCTCACAGAAGAATTTGTGATAGTCTTCTGTTGCTGATTGTTGCTGATTTGTTGGTCTTCATTGAAAGAGCTTTTTTTTTTTTTCTTTTTATGCCACGTTGCTTCAGAACACAGGTGATCATGTCTCTCCCCAGATTCCTTTTCTTTATTATTTGTGAAATTACCATGAATTCTTGTGAAAGACAGTAGTGGTTTCCTGTTGCTTTCTCCATGATATGGAATTCAGAGGTTTTTTCTCTTAGAATGGTTTCCACCCAAGGCTTGAGAGTCCAGTCAACCTTTCTATGTAATCCATAGCTGGAGGGTACAGAGAAGAGATGAATTTGTGCCTTTCCTAAAGGTACATGTAAAAGTGAAAACAACACAGATGGAAATTTGAACATGGCTCAATGTAGCTTTTGTGTTGTAGCTTTTGCACTACCCACACAAGAACTGTGAATGAATGAAAATCATGACATCTTCTATGTGCCATGTCCCTTCAGGACATTTGGCGGGGGGGTTGACATAGTAATCTTGTTTCACCAATTTTCCTGTTTTGTTATTTGATTTGCATGAATTTTTCATTAATTTAGCTTTTCCTTAATATATTACATCAATTGGCAACATTTAATTAAAGTTAGGGTTAGTATTTGGGTGGGTCCTAGATTGAGTGTTGTAATCATGTTCCACCAATTTTCCTATTTTTTTTAATTGATTTGCACAAATTTTTTCATTAATTTAACTCCTACAATCATTTCCTTAATATATTGCAGCAACTGGCAACATTTAATTGAAAAAAGTTAGTGTTAGCATTTGGGCAGGTTCTACTATTAGGGTTGTAGTGGGGGTTAGTGTCGGAATCATGTCTTGCCAATTTTCCTGTTTTGTTATTTGATTTTCATGAATTTTTTCTATTAACTTCTACAATCATTTCCTTAATATATTAAATCAATTGGTAACATTTAATGAAAAGAAGTTAGTTAGCATTTGGGCGGGGTCCTAGGATTAGAATTGGGGGTGGTGGTTAATGTCATAATCATATTTCGCCAATTTTCTTGTTTTTTTATTTGTTTTACAGAAATTTTTCCCATTAATTTAACTTCTGCTATCATTTCTTTAATATATTACATCAATTGGCAACACTTAATTTAAATTAATTAGTGTTATCTTTTGGGTTGGTCATAGTTCGTGTCATAATCATGTTTTGCCAATTTTCCTGTTTTTTATTTGATTTGCATGGATTTTTTCAATTAATTTAACTTCTGCTATCATTTCTTTAATATATTAAATCAATTGGCAACATTTATCAGAAAAAAAATTAGTATTAGCATTTGGGCAGCCATAGTGTTAGGTTTGAGGTAGGGGTTAGGGTAGTAATCACGTTTTGTCAAATTTTCTGTATTTTTATTGCATTTGCTTGAATACTTTCCATTAATTTAACTTCTACCATCTTTTTTATAAACTGTTGCCAATTGATGTAATGTATTAAGGAAATGATAATTAATGTAAAAAATTCACTCAAATCTAATAAAAAAAAAAAGGAAAATTGATGAAATAAGATTATGATGCTAACCCCAATTCGACTATAACCTTAGGTCGCGCCGAAATGTTAGCCCTAACTTTTTTATTAACTGTATCCAATTGATTTAATATATTAAGGAAATGATAGTAGATGTTAAATTAATGGAAAAAAATTCTCACAAATCCAATAAAGACATAGGAAAATTGGTGAAACATGATTACAATGCTCGACCCCCCCCCCACAACCCTAACTCCAGGATCCGCCCAAAAGCTAACTGTAACCTCTTTTAATTAAATGTTGCTAATTGATATGTTAAGGAATGTTTGCATTTTCTCTAAAACTTTGTTGTTGTTCATATGTTCAGTTCATGGTTTTCTCAGTATCCTTCTGTAGAACCAGATTTTTGTTGCTTCAAGTCTCATCTTCATCTGGAAGGTGATTGTCCACCATTCACTGCCATTGGGAGGACCAATATCACTTAACCATCCAGTACCCTGTTCTTTGTTTCTAATGAAATTTTCCTATTTCTTAACACTTTGTTAAGCTATTGGAAGACATTCTTTGCTATTCCACTGCATCTTTGGCTTTCAGTATTGCACTTTCCATCCTCTCTTAAATTACTTCCCAGATATTTAAAATGTTGTGCTTGCTTGATTTTCACTATTTACATTATTTGGACTATTGTCCTCATCTTTGTCGCCATGTGTGACACTATTTAGCTATGATAATTGGCTAACTAATTAACCATAGAAATTAAAAACAGGAAAGACTTAAGGTGAGAAAGTCTATCTTTCAATATAGCTCTGAGTGACATTAAAAAAGAAGATTTTATTTTATTTACAAAGAAAGATACTTTTCGCATAAGACAGAAAATCCGTAAGAAAAAGCAAGATATGAGATTCTGTCAAAACTGATTAATGTCATGGTAAGGGAATGACGCACCAAGGGAAACAGAATTCAGAAAGAAAAACAAAGCCGGCCGACAAATGGCAGTCATAAAAAAATTTCAGACGACCCTGATACAAGCAGAGAGAATTGATATTAGTTATCTTTCAGAGATATCATTTAATTTTGATTCCTAGCACCAACAAAGGGAAACCATCTGGTATGTGTTAGAATTCTGGCATGAGGAGGGAAATCGTATTATTACTTTTTCAAACTGTTGATGTCAGACACAGCATCATTGAAAATGGGCATCTGGTGATAAGATTTTAAGGCATGAGAAAAACAAAGAATTTGATTCTCAGGTAAAACACGGACCTCCCAGTTAAAAGTTGACTTAGCAAAGAAGCCAGATGTCAGGTTTTGACAGTGATTGATGAGTCGGTAGAGAGACCTAATTTTGGGTGTCCCTCAAAAGAAAGATGTGATAAGAATTATTTGGCAATCTGGGGTTTGTAAAAAAAAAAAAAAAAAAAAAAATTTTGACCGAAAAAAAAAAAAAGGATTTTGTAAACAAAATTCTGGAAAATAATTTTAAGAGGGTCAGTCTAGCCACACCCACACTGCCAAGAGATCATTGCTCAAGTGGTAGCATGGATGATAGGCAGAAGTGAATGTATGAGAAAGACGGAGAAGTTGTTAACACCCACTGAGAGGATTGGTATGAGATACCAATGTGAGAGAAGAAGAGTCTAGGAGGATAACTCTCCTCCGACCTTACCTCACGGATGAGGGAGAAACCCCTGAAATGGGACACAGGCATGGCAACAAAGATGAGGACAATAGTCCAAATAATGTAAATAGTGTGCATAATACATCATCTCAGAAATATAGACAGATATTGCTTGATTTTGGTATCTCCAATTTGTAATTTACACGTTGAGCTGATCCTTTTGCTGACAACCAAGCATTCTATCTTCTTGTAATTTATGTTTAGTACTTTCTTCCTGGTTTCCTTCAGTACCTTCTGTAGGAGTTCTTGTAGTTTCCTTTCTATGTCTGCTATCAAGATTGGTTCATGCATATCTAACGTTAAGATTGTGGCCACCAATGATGAATCCTGATAAAACTTCTCTCTCAGAATGACCGTTCTTAAAAGACACATTTTTATTCTTGTATATTTACTAAATTCTGTTTTCTCCTGTATGCAGGAGGTTTGCTCCCATTATAGGTTCCAGATTATTCTAATCTTTTTCCCAAATATGTCAGTTACCTAGCAGTTCGAATAGTTCTTTGTGGCATATTTTATCAAATACTTTTGCATAATCTATAAACATAGATATACATCTTTTGCCTCTATATTGTTCTTTCAGATATTATTCTGAGCATAGATATTGCATTCCTTGTTCTAGTGCTTTTAACAAATCTGTACTGTTTTTATCCTATTCCTTGTCTAATTCTGCTGCATGCTCTATTCATCATAATTCAGATAAGTTTTGTTATATAGCTCATTAGGCTGATTACCTGATGGAGTTCACATCATTTGCACCTGGTTTCTTAGGCAGTGCTAGGAAAATGGATCTACTTAGGTTTTCTGGTATATCACCCTGTTGTATATTTTCTAATAGGCCACATAGATTTAGTGTTCTGATATTCCATATCCTGAGAATTCTTTTTTGTTTCATGTGAACAGTCAATGAATGGTAGTCCACTGACATTGTACACTCATGTCTTTCCTTACCAATTTTTTTATTTATTTTTTTTTTTTTTCTAGGAAATTATTACACCAGAAGTTCTCTATGAAGAGGTTATTGAAGTAGATGAACGATTGTTACTGAAGCAAGACAAATGCGAACTGGATCTAAATTGCCAAGTGGTCACTGGCAAGACTGGAGAAAAGGTATATGGAGTAATAAGATTATATGATATTACATGTTTGAGTATGATTTTGTTTGTTTTGTTTTGTTTTACGGTGTATCAACCTCAATGGGTCATTTAATGCCGACAACTTTTTTTTTTTTCTCAAAAATGTATAGCTGGTAATATTATTTTTTTTCAAAAACGTATAGCTGGTAATATTATTTTTTTTCAAAAACGTATAGCTAGTAATATTATTTTTTTTCAAAAACGTATAGCTAGTAATATTTTTTTTCAAAAACGTATAGCTAGTAATATTATTATTTTTCAAAAACGTATAGCTAGTAATATTATTTTTTTTCAAAAATGTATAGCTAGTAATATTATTTTTTTTCAAAAATGTATAGCTAGTAATATTTTTTTCAAAAATGTATAGCTGGTAATATTATTTTTTTCAAAAAAAGTATAGCTCGTAATATCATTATTTTTTTCAAAAACATATAGCTGGTAATATTTTTTTTTTCTTTTTCAAAAATGTACAGCTGGCAACATTATTTTTTCAAAAACATATTATCAGAGGCCTTGCTGCTGGACGTAGTTTATTGCAAATGTAGTTTATCGTCATATCCAGGACGCGGATGTAGTTTATCATCATGCTCAGGACATGGATGTAGTTTATTGTCATACCCAGGACGAATTTGAGTATGAATGAGAAAAATCTCTTTATCCTTCATGAGAGCTGTATCAGCTTGAAGACCTGCTGTATATCAGTGTAATTTTTTATCTTTAGAACTTAGATGGATGTCTAATCAGTTTCCACCTGCTCAGGTACGTATCTGTTTCTCCAACACCCACAACCAACCTGTGGTTTATAGTGAAACTATACTGAGAAAATCTTAGTTACAGTTTAAGTATGTGCCTCGCCAGTGCTACAAACTGTTTTGAGTTCAGAATTGTGGTTCTCCTAGACTGGATGACAACAGCGGCTAGAGAGCCTAGCTAGTCTGCCCTAGAGAAGAGATGGGCTTATAAGGGTCTATTGGTTGAAAGATTTATTTTTGGAACTTTGGGGTTACCGATTGTAAAGTTGTCCATTTGTAGATAGACCAATACTATTTATATTATTATGCTTTCAACATACAGGATTCAAGTAAACAACAAAAACTCCAAACTGTGAATCAACAAGTATATATTGAAATAACATACAAGAACAAACATGCAATAAAATTGTATTCAATGTATAGATTAAGGGGAAAAAGTCCCCCTTTAATTGTATTTTGATTTGTAATTGATTGTCTGAAGGAAGTTCTCTTGAGAGAAAAATGTTCAGGAATCAATATTAGAACAAGGATCTGTTTGTTAGAAAAGATAACACAAGAATATAATTGATCAAAAAATGTGTTGTGTTATAGAATGGTTCGAAATCAACAGTCCTGGTTGATTGAGCTTGGCTAAGTCACAAAGAGAAATATAAGTTTATATTACAAAATTCTGTGTCTGTGTGTGCATTTGAAATGTTATGAGCAAGACAGGTGCATATAGGTGAATTTTACTGGATCTTACTGATCTTGTGAAAAAGTTGCCTCTTTTGAGGAAAAAGGGTAGGCTCCCACAGCAATGCAGGAAAACTTTATCTTGCACTAAAATAAGTGATTGGTTAAAAATTAACCAATCACTACATTCGTACTAACAGAACAAGCAAGCAAGCTCAAAACCAAAGGATTCAAAGAAACGACTGCAATGGCTAAATTGTCCTATATAAAAGTAGTAGTGATTTATTACCCAATCACAGGTGAATAAAATGTGGGCGTGGAAAAACAGCAATCGCTACAGACTCGTACCTTTCCCAAGTGTATTTGTTGTGCAAAAGTAAATGTCCCATACTTGACTGGAATTTGAACTCACTTCACTGATTTCCCATTCCAAACTTCTATCCATTGCATCACCTGCACATCCTTTTAATCCCAAACAATCCTTATTGTTCAACTTGTAGAAGCTGTTGCAAGTGAAAGAAAAAACATCTGTAGAAATAAATGTTGCAGGAATGTCATTCTGCAACTTGCAACAACCACAGTTAATCACTTTTATCTCAACCAACAAAGTTACACAGAGGTAAAAAATTCACCTATTTCTCTGTTATAAAATATCTCTAAAAATCCTCAGAGTTTCAATGTCATTTTGCAAAAGTGTAGGCCATATGCCGAGGAGCAGCTGATTAAATAATTTGGCAGGTACACAAATTGAGACACTTTTCAATAAACAATAAACCAAAATATTTTTGTTATATTCCATGCTAATAGGAATATATACTTGAAAAACAAGGTGGATAAAATAAGTAAAGGTTTATTGTACAAAACCAGTACAATAAGAATAAAGGTAACAGTTATGCACAAGGTCATTGCAAGTCAATCTAGTAGTGAGTGCTACTATTGGAAGGTTGGTAGTCCTTGCGTAAGTCTGAGTCGAACTCAACAGATCCCAGCTAATCTCTGTAGTTTGTTGACTTACAGATACTTATAGGTAGTTACTACTTATAGTGTAGTCACTCATGGGGATGACAGGTTATTCTATTACATCAATTTTGAAAAATCAAATTTTGGAGTGTTAAAACTTGTCTTTTCATTGTAAATCAAAGCTTCTATATAGTGTTCAGCCAATCTTGAATAGTTCTGTGCTACATGATCATTGAATTTGTTTGTAGGTATTTACTTTTCTTAGTCAGTCACAAGAGTGAGAGTTCCAGTGAATATCCACATTACTACTATTAGTATAATGGTCTCTAAGAGAAGGTTGTTAAGCATTATTCCATTACCATTACAAATTGCTCAGTAGTCTCTCTCTCTATCTATCTATCTATATATATATATATATATATATATATATGTTATGATGTTGATTTGGGGTTAGTAGAGACAAACACCAAATAACATGTAACAATAAAAAGGCTTTTAATAGGTTGGTAAAAAGGTACAGAAATTGCCTGAGTAGTCAATAACTAGCTCAGCTAAGAACTTCTCTCTCTGTCTCTCCCATGTCAACTGACATGCCACTATTTAAAGTCTTTGTTCACAGACGCAGACAAGTTCATCTTCAAGAGGGGTGGTAGATTTCCAACACAACAAATATATATATATATATATATATATATATATATATATATGTAACCTCTCAGCTGTCAATGTGCCTTGTACTAACTTCAAGTGAGTTGCCTTGGATAGAAATAACTGGAGATATTTGTGCCAGAGAGGTATCGGAAATTTTGAAATCCGTTGTATTGATCGGTGAAAAGATGAAGGACAGTGGCAAAAAGCATCAGCAAATGTTCCTGTTGCTAAGTTCTGAGATCCTTGCTGTTGCACAATATGTGGACTTGTATGCAGGTCACTAGCAGGATTGAAGTGTCACATACAACACATACATAAAAACTGAATGAGGTTGTCGGATCCAAATACACCAAAATCACTGGGAGAGTCCATCATATATATATATATATATATATATATATATATATATATATATATATAATTTCTTATTATTATAAACATAATATTTAGTAAAGAGTTAATGGATTTATTTTTAATCCAACATTTTTATAATTTCAAACATTATCATAATGGATACTCTTATTTGAAATAGACACACCCTTTTTATTTTTATTTTGAACAGTGTTTATTACGTCTATTGGTTTGCATATTTGGGAAATTTTGATAAAGAGAATATGCTCTCCAGCAGGAATTGTCTGCATCCCCCTTTATAGGAGAAACCACCATTTGATTTGGTGTGCTTTACCACTCAGCTATGAAGAGCATCAAAGTACGGCATAAAAATAAATGAGAAATGAAGCCTTGATGCTTTTCATAGGCTGAGCCGTAAAGCACATTGGATCAAACAGTGGTTTCTCCGACAAAAGGAGACACAGGTTCAATTCCTGCCGGAGAATACATTTTCTTTATTGAGATTTCTCAATTATGCAGGTGTAATACACACTGTTTAAAGTAAAATATAAAAATGGATGTGTCTATTTTAAATAAAAGTATCCACTACAATAATGTTTGACGTTATGAAAATATTTAATGTAGAAAAAAATGGTGATGATGGGGAAGTCAAAATATGCAGTGCAGTCCTCGCCGGCAGGCCAGCTATTTTTACTTCTTCTTCGTTCGCCTCAAGGAAATGGATTGTGTGACTTCCTTTCTCAGCCATTACACTAGGCAGTTGTGAAACAGACACCAACTCAGCCGCACATACTTCAACTTCCTCTTTGTCTGTCTGTCAATCTGCACGTCCAGCTCTAATGCACACAGTCCACCGAATGACTTTGGTTCTGTCGTGCTGCTGGCACCCAGCTTTTTATGCTGTTCCAATATGGCCAAAATTTGCATGTGTGCAAATATCATCTCGTTTTGGACGAGATATGCGTGTATAAATTGTGTCTTCAATAGCGGCTATATTTCTTTTTGTCATCACTTTGCAAGCAAGACATAATCGCACTCATTTCAAATTCTGAGATAAGTCATGTCTTTCGTCACATTTAGTAACTACACATCCCTATTTTTTAAACAATGTAATTGACATCTACTAGTCTGGGCAGTCAAGAAAATGTGCCTCTTGGCAAGGAGTTGTTTTCATCATGTAAAAGAAATTCAGTTTCAATCCCAGCTAAAAGGGATATTTTTTTTATTAAGACTTTCAATTGTCCAAGCCAGTTGATGTCAATTAAAATGTTTAAAAAAAATGATTCTGTTCAAACATGGTTATTTACTAAATATAATATCTATAGCAATAAGAAATAGTGTGAGATTAAAAAAATTCATGAGAAATCTCTCTATCAAATGTGAATGTCACTGTGTCACGCTTTTTCAAATTTACTCCTAGAGGTCGTAGCCCAACATATATTCCATTGTGTATTTAGGACAACTCCATGAGCAAATTAAAAACATTCCAGGTCGGATCTGGACCTGCAATCCTGAAATTTTAGATTCTCAAGTTTTCATTACTGCAATTGATTTCGGATTCTGTCATCTTGGCTTCCACTGATAAAAATAATTCAAGGGACACAAATCTCTAATTTTGAATAGTTCATGTTCAAAAGAAAAAATTACTTTTCTCAAATTACAGTATTTCAAAATAAAATTGTCTGTGTTTTCAACAACATATCATACCATTTTGGAATCGGGTTGACGCTGACTCTGTGAGCAAATTAAAAACATTCTGGGCTGGATCCAGACCCACAATTCTGAAATTTTGGATTCACATGTTTTCATTACTGCAATTGTTTTTGGTGTTTTTTTTTTTGTTTGTTTTTTTTTCAATAAATTTTTTTGTACAGCAACAATTCTTATAACTTGGAAATAAATTTGGGAATAATCAAAATTAATTGCAAAATCCACCGAAAGTCATGAAATAAAAATAATAATTGTTTATACAGAATGTAAGGACCTACATACATTAAACCTACATTTTTAAATTAAGTGGCAGTCGAACAATTATCATTGAACTTTTAAAAGGTAAGCTTAAATATTAATGCAATACTTGAATGCAGCGATCAATTTTGAGTTCTTCTGTAGTTTATTGTTACCTGTCACATATACACCTCCCTACCTATTGTGATGAAGGCCCAATCAAGAGCCCTGTGCAGGAGTTAGCTTAAAAGCTGCTCTATTGGGCAATGTTGAGGCATATATATATATATATATATATATATATGAGGTCTGTCTGAAAAGTAACAGGACTGAGTGTGTAGTGTAAACTCCTGGGCAAAAGAGGGATAAGCAGATTGTGTTATCATCTAACATGATATCTTGAGTGTATATTACTGTAATCTTAGCTTTCTGCAACCATTGCATTTTTACATGCATTTGAGTGTTGTGGCAGGATAAATCATGGCTGCTGTCAAGCACAACATTGCACCTGCTCATAGCATCCTGAGCATCCAACAGTTCTTGGCTGAGAAGAACATTGCTGTACTGGAACAACCTCACTATTCACCTGATCTTGCTACATGTAACTTTCTTCTTTTCACTAAGCTCAAGAAGAAAATCAAGGGGACCTATTTTGAAGGTGTGGAGGCTATCAAGATGGCCGTAACAACAAAGCTGTGCGGTATCCAAGAAGAATCCTTCCAGCAGTGATTAGAAATATGGTAGAGAAGGATGAAAAAGTGCATTAGACTCGAGGGGGTTTACTTTGAAGGGGGAACTATGTAGTTTGTTGTTTGAAATTAGAATAAATTGTTTGTGACACAAGTCCTTTTACTTTTCAGACAGATCTCATGTGTGTGTATATATATATATATATATATATATATATCTCCCCAAGTAAAATGAGAACAAATGATGTATGATTCCACTGTACATAACATTTAATTTAAGAGGCCTCAATACATAGTAGTGCTAAATATTTATTTTAGAATATTAAAACATGTTATAAAAAATTGCTACAAAATTATAATTAGGTTTCAATACCATAATGTGTCTCTTCAGGTGATGTTGTCTGCATATAAAAAACTAGACAATTTCCTTATGGACAGATACAGATTGTTACATTGTTTCATAAGATGCATCGGAACCAGATGCTAAAATTTACCAAAAAGCTAAAGAGATGGGGAGATAATTCAACATAATGTTAGCCACTTATATGCTTGTCATACAGACAATTTTGTGTCATGACCTATATTAAAAAAAATTTTTTTATGGTGAATTTGAATTTAGTGTAGGTCACATTTGATTGGTTAATCACAGCAAAGTGCACAAGTCTAATTTTTTTTTTTAAAGTATTCTACTTTTTGAAATCGAATTAATCTTTCACTCACCAGTAGTTTAATATCACTTGAAGAGACACATTATGGTGTTGAAACATAATTTAAATTGTGTAGTGATTTTTTTTATAATGTTTTAATATCCTAAAATAAATTTATTTATATATATATATATATATATATATATATATAACATTATTTTTAATGGATACACAGCTTTGTGTTGTACACACTAAAAATAACATTTATAGTAATAAGAAATAATGATGGATAAAAAACATCCTTTACAAAGTTACTGTTTATATTTCAGATGCAAAACTGAAGATAACAGAAACAGATTAAAAATAGTCTTTTATTAATAGGTTTATTCAACCCTTGCCCTGCCAGGCAGGCTCCCCCGCCAAACTGGCAGCACCACATTTTTGGTCAAAAAGTAGTTTCCCTGGTGGAAAAAATTAAAGGCACAATTTTTTTTTTTTTTTTTTTTTTAGTAGACTGTTTAATAAAATAAAAAACAGGGGTAGCAACTGAAACATGTGTACCAACTAAAAATAATATTTACAGCAATAAGAAATATATTGATGCAGTGTCAAATAAGTTGCTGTTGAATTTAGTAACTAGTCAAAAAAATTTTTTACTGTTCTCTTTGTTCTCTTTTCTCATAGTTGCATCGATACCAGCCTGTAAAGCTACAACAGTTACGACGTGACCTTCAAGGTGTTTACAATCGTGGCATCCGTAGCCTTGCAGTTGTTCTGATGCATTCTTATATGTAAGTACTTTGTAGCACCTTTCATTCTTTCTCACCTGTATCAAACCATTCTATGTGTTAATTAAAAATATATACTATATTATGAGAATAATGCTGAAGTTTCTAGTGTCATTATAGCAGTCTCTAAGTGATGACATTTCATCACAGCTAAAACTTTCTCTTTTAACACCAAAGTCTGTATGATATTTAGATTAGTGTGTAGTGAGTCCTGATAAAAATAAATAAAATATAAAAATATATAAACAAAAATAAAAAGAATTCAAATTAAACTAAGGCATTTGCACTTTCTTTAAAACCTGTTTAAATCCCTTAACTCTCTTTCTCTTAAACTTCTCTTTCTATCTTCTCTCTGTCTCTAAACTTCTCTTTCTATACTTCTCTCTGTCTCTAAACTTCTCTTTCTATACTTCTCTCTGTCTCTAAACTTCTCTTTCTATACTTCTCTCTGTCTCTAAACTTCTCTTTCTATACTTCTCTCTGTCTCTAAACTTCTCTTTCTATACTTCTCTCTGTCTCTAACTTCTCTTTTTAAACTTCTCTCTGTCTCTAAACTTTCTTCTCTTTCTACTTCTCTTTCTTCTCTCTGTCTCTAAACTTCTCTTTCTATACTTCTCTCTGTCTCTAAACTTCTCTTTCTATACTTCTCTCTGTCTCTACTTCTCTTTCTATACTTCTCTGTCTCTGTCTCTCTCTGTCTCTAAACTTTCTTCTCTCTGTCTTCTGTCTCTCTTTCTATCTCTTTCTATACTTCTCTCTGTCTCTAACTTCTCTTTCTATACTTCTCTCTGTCTCTAAACTTCTCTTTTTATACTTCTCTCTGTCTCTAAACTTCTCTTTTTATACTTCTCTCTGTCTCTAAACTTCTCTTTTTATACTTCTCTCTGTCTCTAAACTTCTCTTTTTATACTTCTCTCTGTCTCTAAACTTCTCTTTTTATACTTCTCTCTGTCTCTAAACTTCTCTTTTTATACTTCTCTCTGTCTCTAAACTTCTCTTTTTATACTTCTCTGTCTCTAAACTTCTTTTTACTTTTCTAATCTGTCTCTAAACTTCTCTTTTTATACTTCTCTCTGTCTCTAAACTTCTCTTTTTATACTTCTCTCTGTCTCTAAACTTCTCTTTCTATACTTTTCTCAACTAATGAGAAGGCAACCCTTAAATAAAAAGAAGAAAAAACTGAACCTGATTGAAAAACACCAGAAGTTTTCAGGAACAGAGCCTACTAATTTATGACTAAAAACTAACAAAAATCAAGAAGGCTCCACGCATAACCTCTGTTTATAATAAATTTTTTAAAAATTTAAAAAAGATGAAAGAAAGTAACACCAGAAAATAAAATAATTTTGACCAATCAAAGAAATTGACACAAACAAACTTTTGATGTTAGCCGAAACCAATATTCATGCCAGATTCTCATGCCTGGTGAAAAGATAAAAAAACCCCTGACACCTCTGAGCTAGAAGCAGGACAGATGGCAGGAGAAGACAGAACAAAAGAACGCTACTGCGGCAAAACAAGCCATGCATGACACATAAACGTGCAGTTAGGAGGTCATCTGCTAATTATATTTCTGTCCAGAAAAACACAGTAGTGTGACACTGACCTATTTCTAAGATTACTACTATCCCTACTGTTTTCTGATTTCAAACTAACACTAATGGACATTTCTCCAGACTGCTAGCAATATCTGCCATATTAATGAACTTTTTGGTACACCAAATACCAAGGAATTCCCTTATCCTTCTAAAGAAAATAAATAAAAATGTTTGATTATAGCTTATGCCTTTCATCCAATTCATTTTATTCCTGAAGTTCCCTTAGCCACTGGACAAAGGAGTAGAGCATTTGATTCCCACCACAACAGATATAAAAGTTTTGACTACTAGATTTTTTTTCACTTTGAAGTATTTTGATGTTCCTTGAGGAAAAGTAATTTTTGTTAGATGTTTTTTAATTTTAGATTTTCTTTTGTTTTTCTGATTTCTCAATGTTTATTTTCATTATGGTTTTTAATATTTAGGTTGGACAGGGGTCTGCAAATGTATTTTTCCTTAATTTTTCATTAATGGACTTCGTCCGGCCCGTGACCTGTCATTATAACACGATCTGGCCCACTGGGTCTAATGAGTTGCTGACCCCTGGTCTAGCTCATCATGCAGAAGGATGACAAGTGCTAGGATATAATCATGAAGCTGCCCCAAAGAGAGCAAAATATAATAGTTGAATATATGTATGTATATATATATATATATAAATTTTGTCTTTTGTTCAAACTTCATGTATAACATTTTTTTAATTCTAGGTACCCAGAACATGAAAAACATATACAGCAATTGGCCAAAGAAATGGGCTTTACCCACATTTCTCTGTCAGAGCAGGTCATCCCAATGGTGAAGATTGTCCCAAGAGGATACACAGGTAAAATCTTTATTATTTTTTTTCTTATCATTGTATTTTTCAGGAAACAATTTCTTTAATCAATAAACATTATTTCATATGCTGTAAACACTGGATTTTGGGGGCTGATAACAGAAAGGGTACGTGAAAGTTCATTAAATCTGGATGTAACCTAGAAGACCATTTCTCATGATATAAGAATGTACAGGTAGTGTCGCTGAAGTTGGAGAGTTGGGTTTTTTTTACATTCACCTACATGCAAATACACTTGGGGAAAGATATGTATTCATCGCATACCCCCCCACCCCAGCTGTTGGTTAAATATTAGGATATGTGTTTGATAAAAACATTGTTATCTATAAAATAGAATAGTTAATGCGATATTCACTTGAAAGAAAGAAAAAAAAGAATTATTCTTACAATCCAAAATATGTTTCGGCTTTGGATAACTCACAAAGGGTTGATAAACCATAAAAAAACAATCAAAACTCACTATATAAATATTTTTTAAACCTAAAAAAAAAAAAGCATTAATACAGTATAATCTACAGTAAATATATGGTTTGTCCCAAAAATGGATACACACTTCCGGAAAGGAAAAACTTGTATAGATATTATAATACTAGATTTATTCAAACATCACAAGATTAATACAAGTTACATTTGGACTCTTCAATCACAAAAGATGCTGAAAATGGTGACTTTTGGCATTTATTATTATGGCTAACTACTGCTTGGTCAACATTGGCCAAAGTGTCCAGTGGGATTGCTGCATATGCATTTTCAATTGTCTAATTGCCACCAATGTAGTCATTTTTCTGTGATGCACCACATCCTTTACTGTCCTTCATAGGTAAAAGTCTGCAGGTGTTAAATCAAGAGAATGTGGAGGGAACTTTTTTCCTGAAGTGTGTATACATTTTTTTGGCAGACTGTATAATTCTAATAAAGATATAATATTTACAGCCAGTATATCTATAGAAGGATATACTATTTACAGCCACAATTATATCAGTTTAGTTCGGCTTCTTTTAATAATTTTTGGCAAAATCTTATCTTAAAGCCTTCATCAGATCCCAAGTTCTCATAAATAAAACTGATTTTAGGCATAAATAAAAAATATATTGATCATTACTATAGTAGAATTGTTTAAGACAATACGAATTTGCTTAGCAGTAAGTTTTAATTAACTCTGTATAACAGAGTTCTCCTGACTATATGTGTTCAGGACAGATCCATTAATGGAGGAGATGGATCATACCACATTCTCCCCTGCCTTATTCTTATAGAAGGAAGAAGTCCTTGAATTGAGCAAGCATCCTTTGCTCTCTGTGAGCCTGTGGCGGATTGCCAGGAGCATGATGAGGTTCTTCCTCTTAATTGCTAGAACTGGATTTAATCCTGCTGCATTTCCATAATCTTCTAAGAGTTGCTTGCTCATCCTCTGAAGTATCGGTAGGTGGGTGTGCTCTCTTCTGTGAAACCCATTTGTCACCTCTTGAGGGACCAGAGCTCAAGGATTCCTTGTAACCTTCAAAAGGAGATCAGGATTTTGTTTCTTCAAAGTCAGTTGAAGTGTCCTGAGGATGGCCCTTACTTAGAATTGTGGGCCCTGATTCATCCACTGGAGCCAATTCTCTTAGTGTTCCAGTTCATCAGGGTAACAGACATGTGCATACTGGGGGTTGGTGTCTAGAAGCTTCACTTGATCCACCAGTGATTCATTCTTATTCAGTTGCTTGTATCTTTTTAGTAATATTACTATTGGTTTTGAGAGCCAAGATGGTAGGGAGACTCCAGTCAAACTTCCTTTAAGAAATGGGAGGGGTCATTCATGTGGTGTTGCATTAGTGGCTGCACTATCTCACCAAGTATGTCTCAGCAAGCAGGGAGATTGAGCTAAAGTTTGTACAAGTAAAAAAATGGGGAGTGAAATGGTATCTTGTTCGTCATCATTGTATACATTTGGCTGCTTATCAACTACAACAATAGAAAACATGGCTAATGAACAGCCAATTGGGGCTTGTATTAGGGGGAACATTAATATAAAAAAGTGAAATATTAGCATTCAGTATGGAGGACTTAACACTGAGTCCTGCAATTCTGTTGGCAGTCTTTTAACAAATGGGAAAAGACAAACCAGAGAAGAAGCAGTAACTAAGTTCCAAAGGCCAACATAAAAATTGGGAAAACCAAAAGCTGTATTTGTCAAAATGTTCTGGTAACAACACTAAAACTGAAGAAAATACATTGAAAAATGGTGCAATTCTAGTTGAGAGTTGCACAGTGACTTGGCCTTTAGTAAAGAATGTCATGGTATAGTGGGTATTTATTATTTTAGTTCTTCCTTTTCTTTCTACTGTGGCAATCCCATTTTGAAGTCTCCATATATCTGTGATGCAGAAACTGACTATTTGCAAGAACATGGAATTTTCTTCTAGAATTTCAAAACCAAAAGTTTATAAGAAGCCCACAGCCAGTAACACTGCAAATAAAGACACAGTGGATTTAAATTTTGTTTTGAAATAAACTTACTTGATTTCTATCTGTCAGAAAGAGAAAGTAATTCTAACAAGGATATTTGTAAAAAAAAAAATAATCTTACTTGAGCAAATTAATTGTTGTGTATTTTTCTTTTCTTTTTTTTATAATTTCCAGCTTGTGCAGATGCTTATCTCACTCCATGTGTCCAGAAATATGTTTCTAGTTTTGCTGCTGGTTTCAAAAATCAGCTTCAGGTAGGTTACCAATCTTCACACCGTTTCTGATGATTATATAAAATTATTTTGAAAAGTTTCCTGCATTTGATTTGACACCAGTGTTTACCTATAGACGCAAGTATAATTAACAAAAAAAAAATACATAATTCAACATAAATAATCCAATAAGGGTTCATATGTCATCGAATCCACCAACCCAAAGTAACTTAATTTTTTTCTGCAAATCAATCTGTTGTTTGTGTTGCATCTTCTTTTCAAAAGTTTTTCCAAATTCATAATTTTTCAAATTCTGAGGTATCATCTAATGTATTCTTCATTGTTGGGCTCAACTTTCATCTTTTCTATTTATTTTTTCAAATATCACAAACCATTTCTGAAACATGCTTGCATCTACTGTCTAATTACTGTATGCTTGAGGGATCTATTGCCAAAGTTTTGCTGTACATTTTCTCAAATTTAACAGTAAATAAAAATGCATTTCATATTTAGTCATGATTTTCACCAATATGTAAAATTATCATGTCTCCATAACTAATTATACATGCACACATAATAAACATCTGAGTAAACTTCAACAATACTTCTAAGATTTCTTTAAAATTGTACAAAAATATAACTTGCTATTATCACATCAAACTATATTTTTTGGAATTATTTACTTTACCTTTGCCGTTTTTGTCAGTCAGTAGTTGCTATCTCCATGCAAAGTGTTCAGACGGATTACATTCCTTAATCCCACTAGTTCTAACCTTTATGGCTATGACCCGCCAAGTCATGCACATTGTAGCAAACCACCTTTATTCCCTTTGTATTCCAATGGTGAGATCTGTCCACTTCAGCAACTTTCCAAAAACTGCTGCTTTGTGGAACTCTCCAAAGGGGATGCTTCCTCGAGCACTACAATCTTAACCTGTTCAAGTCTAAGGTCAACCATTATCTTCCTCACATAGTACCATAAACTGTGCTTTTTAATCTGTAACCCTCTACCCTCGAGTGACACATGGGCCTTGTACAAGGTGAACCATTGTAAAAAAAAAAGTTAATGTATGCAAGAATTGACTGTAAGTTTTTGATTATTTTCAGCTTTTTGTTCAGCCATTATCAAACTACAATGAATTTCAAATATTTAGAATTAATTTCAAATATCAACATGGGTGCTAAAAAAGACTACAACACTGACAAGATGTTGTCAAATTAATGAGTGATGGGAACAAAACTGAAAAGTTGAATAAAATTCATCACACAATCAATAAGGAAATTGAAAATATTGGCAAGAAAATGGACTGATCAGCAAGAAAATCTTTGAAGAAACTGATGTTGCTAATTTAAAATGAGAGGACAGATGCAGTATTTTGAAAACATTGCCTCAAGGCAGTAAAAAAAAAAAAAACTACCACAAGCATCATACAGAGAAAGTTGGAAGAAGTATTACATGAAAACTGATTTCTCAACAGTAAATTTTAATTGCAGATTTAAAGCTAATGGCAGGCTTTCATAGAAATAGTTAACTGATGCTAGTTAGATGGCAGTAGTAGAGAGATGCAGTAATGTTTGAAGTCATTTAGTATTGTAGGCTGTAAAATGATTGGTCTTTATTATGTTGGAGGATAACACTTTTAAGCAATGCAGAAGCGCTCAAGATTAAAAAATAAACAGATAACATCTGTGAAACTTTGACTCGGGAAGATAAATGTTAAACATTTTTTTTATTTTATTTTATTTTTTTATATATAATACTCAATAGTATTTTTTTTTTATAGAAGTGTAAATTAGAAATGACCAATGTATTATATGTTTACAGGGTGTATACACATTGTTCATGCAATCAGATGGAGGACTTACACCAATGAAAAAGTAAGTTTTATATTTAGAATAAAAACTTTTCATTTTTTTTTTTTTTTTTTTTTTTTTAAATCAATCTATTGCAAAATCCACACTAACCATGTGACACCTATGTTGCAAAAGTTAGTGATGAAAACAGTTGGAATTACTACACACATATGATAGAAAATTGACAAACATCTTTCTATGGTCATCTTGCTATTGTGTGATGGTTAACGAGCAGGTCTTGCAGATCAATACTCATGAGTTCAGTCCCTATGGAGTGCCTCTTCTACTATGAGCCATATCCCTTCATCCATTCATGGCTCTCCAAAACTTCCTATCTTAAATCTATTTTTCTATGTATGCTAAGCCCCTAACCCTCTCCTCTGCTGGCAGCGTGCACACACACATACACACTATTCCCAAATCCATTCACACAAGCACATCAGGTATGGTATGAGAGATAGGGTATGATAGCAAGGCTACCATACCCTATCTCTCTTGCCCTTAATATGCTCTGTGAGAGCTAAGATTTCCAAGTCCTTCTACATTATGTGTCCAAGGAATTTTAGCTGTCTTTTCCTGATTCTGATTAGAAGTGTTATTTCTGTTGCCATTTTCTTTAAGATTTCTTTGTTGCATACTCCATCCATGGAATTTTCAGTATCCTTCTGTAGAACCATGTTTTTGCTGCCTCCAGTTTTCTCTTCATCCATGGGGAGATTGTCTGGCATTTATTCCAGAGGATGAAGACAGCTTAGCAATCCAGCACTCTCCTTTTTGTTTCTAGTGAAGTTTTATGTTTTCTCAGCACTTTGCTTAGATTTTGGGACAGTGTCACTCACACCTTCCATCCTCTGTTAAAACACTTCCCAGATATTTGAACTTCTGCACTTGCTTGATGTTTATATCTCCAATTTGTAACTTGCATCTTGGGCTTTTTTCTTTTGCTGATGACCATATTTTTTGGTTTTCGTGCAGTTAATGGTTAGTCCTTTCTTCTACCACTCTGTCTAGGAGTTTCTGTGATTTTTTTTTTTGAGTCGGTCATCAACACAGTGTCATATGCATATCTTATACTTTTAAGATTTCACTCACCAATAATAAATCTTGATAGGGTCTCCAGCTCCCTTAGAATAGCATTCCTGTTGAAGTTTACTAAATCTGGGGAGAAGACACATCCTTGCTTTACATGCCTTTCTTTTTTTGTGTAGCTACTCAATTCATTTTTTTTTTTATCTGTATGCAGGTGGTTTGCTTCCAATATAAGTTCTGGATATTTTAACATCCTTTCTAAATAGATTGAGCTTTTCTAGCACTTCAAATAGATCCTTATGTCATACCTATTCAAATGTTTTTTGCATAATCTATAAAACATAAGTGCACATTCTTCTGCATTACTGTTACTCTCTCTGATATCATTTTGATTGTAAATATTGCTTTTTTTTTGTTCTGGTGTCTTTGTATGCTTAGTAAGTAACAAGCTCTGACTTTTTGCAGAGTTTGAGTTTAGCTTTCTTTTTAATTGAAATGGGATAGTTTTTATATAAAACATAGGTCTTTATTGTGTTATCATCACTCAGTTTGCTTAGTGAATGCTGAATGTTTCCTTATAAGGAAAAGGCTAATATTACCATTGCCACAATGAAGTAGATTGGTTTTGATCTCCATCCACCCCACTTGAAGAAATGAACTCAGCCATTTGACATATGTAACATAATAGGTAAAAAGGTAGTGTAGCTGTGTCAGCCATAGTACATAAACGGGATAGTTTTTTTAGCAATAGTATGAGTTCATGTTTGGAAGAAACCTTATAAAGCTATGGATCCAACATGTTGTACAAGCTAGTGATGATCAGTAATGGTTCAGAATGTATTTTGCTGGAGCTTACAAGGAACATTACAGAAATTGACAGGTGTGATGTAAACATAATTACTTTCAGATTATTTTCAAATTTTTCAATTTTTATGCTCACCAAGTATTTTGGTGGTGATGGTTTGCTCCAGCATAATAAAAGAAGACCCCATCAGATACAGGTAACACAAAACTGGTTTCAGGAACACTTAAAGACACTTTAATAACTTCCCTCCCCTTGGCAGATATTGATCTCTTATCGATAGTCAATCCTTATCTATCCTTCTTATCCTCATAATCTTTACCTCTCTTTCATTCATATCATCCACTTCATTCATCATGACCATTTTAACAGTAATACTCTACATAGGTTTTCTATTAGGTTAAATTTAATTTAAGAAAAAAAAATCAAACTCAAGGAAGATTATTTTTAACCAAAGACAAACTTGACACTGATATTACTTCACTAAAGAAAACATGGAAATTGTTTTGCAACAGAATAATATTTTAAATAAACTCTCACTTTTGTTATTAAATGCAATGTCTCTTCAGGACATAGGTAATCATAACTCTCTACCACTTCCTTTCTTTAATCTCTGAATTGCCATGATTTTGGGAAGAGACAGAGGAGTAGATTCCCATTGCCTTTTCCACACTTCTAATTCGAGAGTTATCCATGATTGGTTACTATCCAAGGCTAGAGAACCCATTCTACCCTGCTATTTATACCTTACCTCAGAAAATATACTCAATTACAATAAAAGCTAAAAGTAAATCAAAGTGGTTGTTTTCTTTATTTGTTCTTTTTTTGCTTATTGAATTACTTTCTTTTTCTCATCTATGTTTTATGTTTGTTTATAGATTTAATGGCTCTCGTGCCATCCTGTCAGGACCAGCTGGTGGTGTTGTTGGATATGCCTTAACCACATTCCACAAAGAGACAGAATTACCAGTCATTGGCTTTGACATGGGAGGTAAAAGTATTTTAATGGCTTATATTACTTTAAAAAATTAATCTTTTTTCATTGTAGAAATTGCTGTAGTTTGATATTTTCTGATTCAGTAACAATGAAACAAATCAATGACAGTGTTACATTGCCCTTGATGTGACAGAGCAGTCAGTTACATTGACCTTCTTATGATAGCTGTCTGTTACATTGGCCTTGTTGTGAGTGGGCAGTGTATTACATTGGCCTTGTGTCAGTGCAGTATATTATATTGGCCTTGTTGTGACAGGGCAGTGTATTGGCCTTGTTGTGACAGAGCAGTCTTTTATATTGATCTTGTGATGGCTGTTACATTGGCCTTGTTGCAGCAGGGTATTCTGTTACATTAGCCATGTGATTCAAAACAAATGTGGTACAGTAGGCCTCACAGAACAAGAGAACTGAAATGAAGTAAAAAAACTGAATTTTGAGAAATAATTGCCATTTGTGGGAATTATTTCTCAAAAATTATTTTTTTTTACTTCATTTCTACAGTTTCAAACTCAGATTTTACTAGTATAAAATAAATAGATGTGCATGTAGCATATTGGTTAGCAGTGTGGAATATGGTATTAGCATGCTGAGTTCAAATTCCAGCTCAGGTTTTGTGTTCACTCATGCACAAATACTCTTGACAAAGGGCTGAATTTCTTTTCAATCCCTCACCTATGGATTAAATAGCTGGGTAGGCTGTACTTTTTAGACTTAGTTGGCAACCAATCTAGGAGAATGATAACTCTGAATTCAAAACTTGTTGGGCATGAGATTAGCCACTCCATCCTCTAAAAACCTTGCTACAGAAACCATAGCAGCAACATCTAGCATGAGGAATTTTGATGATTTTAGATTAACTTAAGAAATCTACAGACTTCAGAACACTATTGCTCATCACTTTTTTCTACCTGTCCTCATTCATTGGAATTCAAAAATAGCCATTGTCTATTGGTTTGGATATTGCCTTGGCTGACAAACTAAATGTTTTGGCCGGAAAAGGAAAAGATGGTGAATAAGAGAGGAAAGAATGGATGATTAACCTGTTAATGCCTGCCATCCTAAAACTTAATATGTAATTAATTATTGATACTGGGTTTATATAATTAATACTGGGTTTTTAGAATACTATGATTAACACCAGATCTTTTTAAAAATCTATAATACCAGATTTTTTTTTTGTATAGCTCCCTGTCTTTGTTTGTTTTCACCCCCCCTCTCTCTCTCTCTCTCTTTCTCTCTCTTTTTCTCTCTTTGTCCTCCACCTCCCCTCCACCTCTCTCTCTCTTTGTCCTCCCCCTCCCCTCCACATCTCTCTCTTTGTCCTCCCCTCCACATCTCTCTCTTTGTCCTCCCCTCTCTTGTCCTCCCCCTCTCTCTTTGTCCCCCCTCTCTTTGTCCTCCCCCTCCTCCTCTCTCTTTGTCCTCCCCCCTCTCCCCCCCTCCTCCTCTCTCTTTGTCCTCCCCCCTCTCTCTTTGTCCTCCCCCCCTCTCTTTGTCCCCCACCTCTCTCTCTTCACCATTTGCATGTATTCTATGTGTGACCAACCTATATGGAATTGAAAGCAGGATGAGAATTGTAGAAATGATTTCAAATATGTTCAGTCTTTTCTCTTTCTTTAACTCACTTTGTTATAAGCTGTAAGTTAGTTATGGCAATTTTTCTTCATAAAATTTAATTCTCTTATTTCTACCCCTGCCAGGTACGTCGACTGACGTTAGCCGTTATGCAGGAGAATATGAACATGTCTTTGAGTCTACTACTGCTGGCATTACCATACAAGCACCCCAGGTAATTTCCAATTCTCACCTTTTTTTTAGTGTTACAGATAAATATCTTTTGCACTGCTTGAACTTTGTTTCAATAAATTGTCAAAATATATTATTGGTCATTTTGCTATAAATAAGTATTGTTGGTCATTTTTTAATAGAAAAATGTATTGCTGATATTTTTACTATAAAAATGTATTTTTATACTTTCATAGTGTTTTGCTTTTGTTTGGGGGGTTTCACTGTTTGCCAATAGCTGGGACCTTAACAGGTGCTACCACCCCTGGTCAGGGTTGACCTGGGGACAACAGCAATTAAGGGGTGGTTCCACACTCCTCAAAACTTCCAATCTTTCTGTCAGAGGCCTTATTTTCAGCTAACTATACTTATATCCTTACATTTGTTACTGTCATGGCATTTTGGCCAGGGTACTCACCAGCCGTCTTCAGGTGTCTGTCGATCCAGATAACTTTTAGGGAATTTCAAACTGAAACCGTTATCCAATCTACAGCATTAGATTCTTTTCATTCCACTCAAAATTCCCTAAAAATGTATGAAACTGATATATTAAATAAAAACAGATACCACACTTTGATCTTACTTAGTTTAATACTGACAAAGTTTTTTATCAAGATATCTTGAGATACTATGAACACCCACATAAAAAAGGAAGAGGTGGTTTTATCTTGATCGCAAATGTTTCTGTTTGATGGACCCACAGATAGTTGCTTTTGAAGTTCAGCCTTCTCAGTGATGTCTACTTTAACTAAAGGGTAACAGGAGTAAAGTGTGGATGAGTGATTTTTGCAGATTTGGTGGCAACAAAACCCAGAAATAGGCTATATTTGGATGCTGGTCTATATTAAGAGTCATACTTGGGATCAGGGACAGTGCTGGCCCACCCTTGACAGGAGACAGTTGTGTCCATGTCACAGTGCTGAAGACTCCTTTTCATACTGCCATCCACCATATTGAGATGTGTAGATAGGCAAAGAGTTGGTAGGAGGAGAAGCTGACATAGAAGTTGTCCCAGGTATCACCTACCCACCTGGACGAACAGACAAAGCCCTGAATAAAACGTTTACATATAATATGGGAAAAAGGATTCTCTTTCGTGTTTCTCAACAAGGTGTTTTTCTTTCATTGTGTTACCTTGTGAACATGCAGCATGCTCTTCTCCAGCTTTCAGTGCCAACTAACAAAATCAGAATGCAATGTGGGGGGATCATTGACCAGTTGGTGTAAAGCTTAGGCAAGTGCCACATATGTTTACAATCTAATATAAAACTAACATCTGTTTACGTCATTTTTCTATTTACTTCTAAAACAGTTGTTAATCACTGAATTCAAATTTAAAAAATATTTACTGAAGCAAAATGCTTGGAAAAATTTTTTTAAAAATACTTATTTCAGCCAATTGGGCAAAATGTCTTGAAAGAAATTTCAGCAACCTTTAACCTTCAAGCCCACAAAAAAAACAATGTGTCAAAAGCACAGTTTTTCCCTTGACACTGCTATTATTTTAACTACCTTCACTCCTCAACAATGTTTGTTTTAAAAGGTGATGATTAGAATTGTTTATTGTTTTAAAAAGTGATGATTAGAATTGTTTATTGTTTTAAAAAGTGATAATTAGAATTGTTTATTGTTTTAAAAGTGATGATTAGAATTGTTTATTGTTTTAAAAAGTGATGATTAGAATTGTAATAAAACCTAAACATATGATGAAACTTAATTTATAAATTTTTTTAATTAAAAAAAAAAAAGAAGCCCTATTTATTTATTAGATTGTTTATTCATGCTATTTATTATATTTATTGGAATGGATTGCAAAACATTAGCTAATTTGAAATTTATAAAATAGTAAATAAAGATTTCCTTATAATTGGTTCACCTATTTGAATAATTTAGTAAATGTTTATAAATTTATGAATAAAAAATTGTTTTCATAAGTATTTCATTATAAATGAGAAATGTGTTGCATTAGTTTTAGTACAATTGTATTAGTTTTTAGAATGTTGTAAATATAAAATTTATTCTTGAAGATGAACAATCTAATAAATTGTGTTTAATGTTTTTGTTGGAGATTGAAAGTGTGCATTGAAAGCTGGAAAAAGGCCTGCTGCATGTCCACAAGGAATGAGAAAACAAATCCTATTTCCAATATTATATGTAGACGTTTTATTAAGGTTTTCGCCTGGGTGGACACTTGGGACAACTTCTGCTATTTTGGGCTCATTCATCCCCCTAGCAACTCCTTGCTCATTTACACATCCCATTATATGGCTGGCAATATGCACAGATGAAATAAGAACCTCCCAAGTTTGTCACCAACCAAGGGCAGACTAGAACTGACTTCTCCAATCCCAAACATGACTGTTAATATAGACCAGCACCCAGAAATAATCAATGTTCTGTCTGCTGTCACTTGGGCTTCAAAAGCCTCTCATCCACTCCTTTATTCTTTTGTTCCCTTTCAGTTAGTGCAATGGATGCCACTTACAAGACCAGACTTCAAAAAGAACCATCTGCTGGCTATAAAACAGAAACACTTCAATTAAGATAAAAAAAGAAAAATCACACCTTCCTCCTCTACATAGTAATCAATGGCCAATTGATGGAAAGCCTGGCTGAGGCTCTCATTGTTTTGTTTACAAAGTTACATATTTGTATGTATAGTCTTTCTACTACTGTAGGAGGCAGTTGAGTACAAGTCCTTGAATCTCGTTCTTCATAACAAATGTTTTTTCAAGTGCAAAAATTTATGCTTCCAGCTAGACATCAATAAACCTAATCAATTTTCATCATTCTTCATTTCCAGTTAGATATCAATACTGTGGCAGCTGGTGGTGGTTCCATGTTGTTTTTCCGAGCCGGGCTTTTTTCTGTTGGTCCAGAATCAGCTGGAGCTCATCCAGGACCTGTTTGTTATAGAAAAGGTGAGGAAAAAAAAAATCAACATTGATTTACATATTAGTATCATAGTATCCAATCACTAAAAAAAGTTCTCTGAGATTCCATGCCTTGAATATCTGTTGGATCAAGGGTTCAATTCAAACCTAAAGTGGAACTCATGCAAGGTCTGATCAAAAAGTATTGGGATTGTTACCATGGTAACTGATCTAAAGTATGCAAAGTGAAGCTGCTTGGCACAGGTTGACTTTGAACTCTGTTTCACATGCACACTAAGTTACAACGTTATTACTCACTTTCGTTGTTTATAGCAGTGTTTGGAAGGAAAGTGAGTAGAGTGTGGTCATCTCACTACACCACAGTAGTTCCATCAGTGACCATAGCTTGTGCAGCAGTTTTTGGCCAAGTACACATTCCCCTGTCTGACAACCACCATATTCCACACGTTCCACCCCCTGTGACTTTTTCCTCTTCAAAAATTGAATCCCACTTGAAAGCAACAAAACTTCAAAACGTGGAAATCCAAGAGAATGCAACAAGGCAGCTGCTTGCTATCCCAAAAATAAGAGTTCCAGGAATGCTTTTATCAATGGAAATGATGCCAGATAAAGAGTGTGGCTTGAGAATGGGTTTCCTTTGAAGGTGATTAAATGTGGAATTGCTATGTGTTGTAGTTTTCATTTTATAACAGCAGTCCTAATACTTTTTGATCAGATCTCGTATATACAATCCATTGCTAAAGATGATGGGAAAATGGTCAGCACCTTCTTTCACTCCAGGAAGTGCCTGACTCTTCCTGCTATGCTTTATCTTTACAAGAGCCAGATTAGACAAAAAATGATGGGCTATTGCTGCCATATCTGGGCTGGAGTTACTCACTCCTCACTTCCAGCATTGATAGAGTTTAAAATCATTTTCTTTCATAAAGTTTGCTGACATTATAATTCTATGATATTCTTATTTGTAAAATAACTTAATAAAACCAACATCATTATACACCTTTCTAATTGAACTTGCATCCTCCATTAAATCCAACAGAATGATTAAATAAGGAATAAGTAGGAAAATCTTTATAAATTCCATTCTAACTTGTGTGTGTGTGTGTGTGGAAAAAACATTAATGTGTCTGGTCAGACATCTGCAACGGACATTAATTAGCCATCCTAGTAAATAGACATGACCAGTCATACATTAACTAGTTCAACATTTAATTTAGCTTCATCAGAAATTTTTGAGAATGGCTCACAAAATGATTGAAAAAGGAACAAGTAGGAAAATCTTTATAAATTTAACATGTTTTGATATTTATCTTCATCAGAAAATTTATAATGCTTTCCTTCCATTGCTTGGCATACATGTCCTCTCCTGCTAGCCTGGTCATACTTTGAATTTTTTTTTATCCATTCCCACTTCTGTGAATACACATACACACACTTGTTTAATAATATTATAGATTGATATTATTATAGTGTTGATGTTTTATAGGTGGGCCATTAACTGTGACAGATGCTAACCTGTGCCTTGGCCGGATTCTTCCAGAATATTTCCCACATATCTTTGGGGAGACAGAGAATCTTCCATTAGATAAGGAAGCTTCCACTGAAGCCTTTAAGAAACTGAGAGCTGAGGTGAGTAATCAAAACTTTGATTATAATTTCTGGAACATGCTAAATGCAAAACAGATTATCATCATTATTGCGAGCCTGTTCTACGGTACTAATTCTATTGAGAGACACTGCCACACCAACTTCACTTTACCCTGTACTTTTTTTTTTATATATCACTTGCAGAATATCTATTTAGTCCATTTTTTTTCTTTAAATTTAGTCGAATTAAACAGCAATTGTTCTTTTAAATAAGTTTTATTAAAAAGGATAGATATTCTATGTCTGCCAACTAGAACATAAGAATACTGGCGACGTACTTTCTCCCGTGGTCAAAGACATTTTTTTTTTGTTTTTCAAAGAGGATTTTCTAAATAAACGAACATACAGGGTTACAAATTAAGTTAGAATAATTAGAACACAAATAAATACATTAAATTAGTCAAACAGACCAGCAAAAAAAAAAATTTATGGATCGTCTTTTCTAAACTGTGAATAAACTTCTGCAAAACTGGCTGTTGCAGATCCAAAAATATCCCAAATCAATACTGTGTCCAAGTTTTCACATACACAAGTCATTTTCAGGGAGAATAGAGGAAAATTGGTAGAAAGAAAATCAGAAGTGTATTTTTTTTGTTTATATAAATCAAAGAATTACAGAGTTAGACTATAGCTATTTTTATTAACAACCAATTGCTTTTTTTATATTTATAGGAGTTGCTCAAAAAAAATGCTTCCTTTTTTTTTTTTTTGGCCATAACATCAGAGAGAGAGAGAGATGTTAGGGTTATAGCAGTAGAGGTTGAATCTTTCTGCCAATAATTAGTAATTCATATAAGCTTTGTTACAATTAACAGCTGAGTGGCAATCTGGCAAAATGGTTTCAGACGTAAAAGCACATACAAAGCAGTGGCAGCTCATTGAATTCCTTCATGTGAAAAAACTTGCACGCATTGAAATTAAATTAATGCTGGCTAAGATGCTTTGTGGAGATCAAGCAGTAAATTCAAGCACAGTTGGGATAATGTGATTCAGCACTGGTAAGAGTGATGTGTGAGACAAACCACATACTGCACATAATAATAAAAAAATAATGTTTTGTCACTAAAAACTTGTTCTATCCAGTGGTGTCATTGTGGTTCCTGTATTTCTGTGGAAATAAATCAGAAGTATTACTTTGGGAGCATTCCTTCTAATTACTGAAAAATTATAACATTGACAGCATTTCCCTTTGCAGAGTAATAAATAGTACAATATGGACTACTTACTATGGAGTAGTGGTTGGCAAATTAGTCTTGCTGAGTATTACTACTAGCTAAATCCTTACTAGATGTATGTTCTCAAATGTGCAATCTGACAGATGTAATACATACTGTTTATAACTTTGGCTATCACCCAATTCACACTCCTTCCCCGGCCTTTTGAACAGGAGTAGAGGTTTATCCTTTGTTTCCTGTTTAGAATTGGGTTTCTGTTTTTTTCTAAATTCTCATTTTCTTTCACTCCCTTAGTGGCATTATCACCTGTCTTGGGGGTCAAATGATTAAAAAAGAAAAATTTTTTTTTTTTTTTAAATAAATAAAAATGGGGGCATCTATTTCGAATACAAAGTGTCCACTATAATAATGTTTGAAGTAAGAAAAAGTGCCAGATTTAAAATAAATCCCTTAATTCTTTAGAAATTGCTTTGTTTACATTTACAAATATGAAACTGAGCAGGTAGGAAACCCTCAGAAAAATAATCTGAGTGAAGACAACATTCTTACCTTAAAAAGTAAGGAATAAAAGTTCCGGAAAAACAAAAAAATCTGCCATTCATTCCCATTGGCATGACTAATTTGTTGATTGATTGATTGATTTGGTTTTTATGGCTTATCAACCCTTTGCAGGTTATTTAAAGCCAGAGAATATCTGTGGATTGTAAGAATTTCTGGGAGATAATGATTTAGGGATACAAGTTTTAATAATTAACCCATAGCAGGAGGGAGAGAAGAAGTTATAGGAGGGAGAGAAGAAGTTATATTCACTTATACACAAATACCCTTTCACAAGGGTATTTGGGTATAAGTGAATATAACAAACACAACCAGAATTGGAACTTGGCTCTCTGATTAACAATTCCAAGATGTTATACACCTGTACATCCAAGCTTATAACACTTGGTGTTTCCAAGTGGTCACCCATTTATGTACTGACCAAGCTTGACATGGCTTAATTTTGATGATCATACAAGAACCAGTATTTCACTGTGACATGGTCATAAGCCTATGAATAATCCAGATGGCACTTGTATTTTGTACAAAATTGTTGATAAAACAAGGAATTAAAAATAAAAATTTAATTCACTCTTCTTTTTAAATGTGCAAATGTAGGTTTGTAGTTAGGACATGTAGTGATAATACTTTATAGAATGTAGTGATAATACTTTATAGAATGTAGTGATAATACTTTATAGAATGTAGTGATAATACTTTATAGAATGTAGCAATACAATTTCTCACACATCCTTAGATGATGAATAGATAGATTCTTTTTCCTCAATTTAATAATTAGGATTAGTCAATTTAATAACCAGGGTTTCTCAGGAATTTTGTCTCCAGCTCATCTTTGTGTAAATTTAACGGCCAGGATTTTTCAGGAATCCTGTCTCCATCCCACCTTTGAATCATCAAACATAAAGTTTTGTTCGTGATTCTAAATAGCTGTAAAAGTAGGGTCCTTTGAAAAACTTGACCACCTGTCTGGAGGATCCTCCTTTCCAGTTAATGGATATAAAATGGTGGTGGGTCCCCCAGTCATTATCCATATAATGAATTCAACAGTGAGTGATGGGGTAGTCAGTGAAATGGCCAGGCAGTGAGTGCGTAAGGGTTCAGTTTCCATGGCAAAATCTTAGATAGAAGAGACTAGTCTGTGGAACATAGTGAGCACTGGTGTATTCACATACAGCCAATCTTGGATATCATCACAGCTTGTGCACTGATGTGCAGAAATGCAAGCACCACAAGAAGAAATCCACTTACCTTCAAAAAGGCTGAGGGTGTGCACCTGCTGATGCTATTGGCTCAGTGATACAAAAAAAGACTGTGACAGACTCATTCTGTCGTCTATAACAGAAAATGGTTGATGAAATAGCTGGATGTGCTGCCTACAGATTAGTATATCTACCTTCGAACACATATAAAGTCAGTAGGAGTGAACAAATGGAGAGGTGAAGAAAGCTGATTAGAGGGAAATGCTGATATGCAGCTCTGAATTTGTGACAATTCACTGCATTTTTACAACAAATACTCATATAGTCTTATGTTATTTGCAAATAGAAATAGATATATTTGCCTATCATTCAGTTTGCACTCCATGCTGGTTTTTTGAACAGGAGTAGAGGTTCATCCCTTGTTTCCTGTTCTGGATTGGGTTTCCAGTTCTTTCTAAAGTTTATTTAACTCTCTATATTTCTAATGCCTCCATCTAAACTCTGAAATTTTACTATTTCTTTTTTTTTTATTCCTTTAATAGGGTGATAGGTTTGCCTCCCTGCTGTTTGGAACAGGAGTATTGGTTTATCCCTTGTTTCCAGTTTAGGATTCGTTTTCCACTTCTATCTGAAGTCTTCTCATGCTCTTTCACTCCCAGTAATCCTCTGTATCTTATTGGCATTATTGCCTTGCTTGGGGTTAATTAGCAACTCAAATAAAAAGAACCTACATCTGAATATAACTTTCTTCAAAATATTATTTTGAATATATTTAATAACGGATAAAGTCTTCCCAGAAAAGAATATTACTTGTATATTACCATATAAGTGAACTCATTGTAACTTATACAAAGAATAGTGCCAAAATCTAAAAATTGAATAAAAAACAAAACAAAGAAGTCATAAATAATTACATTTTTTTTTTGTTTCTAACCATTAATCCAGTATGATCACTGAAGTTAAGCAAAATTGAAATTGGTCAGTACTTAGATGGGTGACCGCTTGGGAATATTAGGTGCTGCAAGCTTGGATGTGCAGGTGGTGTAATGGATAATGGCTTGGAATTATTAATCAAAGAGCCAAGTTCTAATTTTAGTTGTCCTCATTATATTGACTTCTATGCAAATACACTTTGGAAAGCTATGAATCCACCTAAAAAAATTCTTACAATCTAAAAATATTTTCTGACTTTAAATAACCTGCAAAGTATTGATAAGCTGTAGAATCAAATCAACCAATCAAATCACGCCTAGCCATTAAGATCTTTAATCTTGAAAGTGGCCAAATGTTTAGCTGAACACACTCAATATTGTTTTGTATAAATTAACAATAGATCTACATTACTTTATATTAAACAAGATTGGTTAAGTCACAAATAAAAAAATAAAATCTTTATCTGTGGCCATTAATCAAACTAATATAGTGGAGTAACATAAGGTTGATGAATTGGAGAACTGAGTTCAAATATCAGTCAAGTTTGTCACATTCATTTATGTGCAAATACTCTTGGGAAAGGTATGAGTCCATCACTTTTCTACCTTAGCTATGGTAAATAGCAGGTCAAACTGGCTCCTATAGCCTTAGGTGGCAATCAGTTTAGGAGAATGAAAACTCAGTTCAAAACATTCAACTGTCAACTATGAGATGAAATGGGTTAAATAGCCTCACCAATCTGCAAGTGTAGTGAGTACGGCTACACCCCTGAAGAGGTGATCAATCAGGGAAAGGTTCCTCCAAGGAGTGAGAAGGTCATGGATCTGGACTTGAATATGGATCTTATAATGAGGTATTTTTTTTAATCGAACTTACATTAATGGAAATTTGTTGTCTATCTGTTAAACTTTTGCCTTTATACAGTTTGTGATGCACATATCTTGATTGTAAAGAAACAATAAAAAGTCTTTTCCCTATTTTTGTTTATTCAACAATCAGGTGAATGTCTTCCTCACTAACCAGGATCCTCCCAGTCAGCCAATGAGTGTTGAAGAAGTTGCTATGGGTTTTATCCATGTTGCCAATGAAACTATGTGCCGTCCAATCAGAGCCTTAACACAAGTAAGCTTTATTTTATTCTTATTGAATACAGACATCTCTATTTATGTTTTGGTTAAATTTACATATCACTTTTAGTTATGTCTTTCTAATTGTAAGAATATTTTTTATAATGTCTTCCATTCCTCTATGCATTGAATATTGCTGCCACATCTTGTCTAGTGTTTCTGCTATGTGCAAGGGTCATTTGAATAGTTCATAGGCTGACCAAATATAAAAGTAAGTAGACATATTAATTGGTAGACTAAAAGACATGCAAGTGTAAACATAACCCCCAATTTTTACAAGGCATATGTTATCTGTAAGTATCACATCACTCCTAATTTTTACAAGGAATATTTGTAAACATCACCAATTTTTACAAGGAAAATGTTAATCTGTAAACATCACACCCAATTTTTAGAAGGAATATTTTTTTTTTAATCATTTCACCCCCAAGCAAGACAATAAAGCCACTAAGATGCAAGGGGTTACTGAGTGTTACTGAGAATATGAGAAAAATAATGTTATTTAGGAGAGAGAACAATAAAAGAACAAAAATTAAGAAGACAGAAGACAATGATTGGCATTGCATTTAAAGTTAACTGGGTAGGAAGAAGCTAGAAAAGAGTTCTGCAAATAAGAAGTGCAAGAGAAGAATCTCTCAGAATTATGGTTACATTTAGCCATTTCAACTGTAGAATGGTAAAATCCAGTGGTGGGTTTCAAAAATTTTAAGAACGGGTTCTTTCAGCAACACGTCTCAACAGCAATGTTGTCCATAGTCTATACTTTATTATATAAATATAATTTAGAAATAAAGCAATTTTTTTTTTGCAGTTATACAAAAATACCCAAATTAATCTACATTACATTGCACATTATCATTTTGAAAAGAAAAATAATTAAAAGAAATGCTTTAAAGTCTTTTAATCATGATCTTTCATTTTAAAAATTTCCAAATAGCCACTTGATTGTCATTATCGTCTTCAGCTTTTTTTTGCCTCACTCTGTTCTCATCAGCACTGTGATTTTTTTCTAAGCCGTGTTTTAATGAAAGGAATGGCATCCCATAAATCTAAGGGGAAACTAATAAGTTTGTCATCAAGTTTGCTGCATTTTCCACTTTCAGTCTGAATTTCTGGAGGGTAGACAGCCAGAACATTGTAATAACAATAAAAACAAAGATGAGGACAATAGTCCACATGTAAATAATGTAAGTTTAATATTTCCATGATTCTGTGTACCAAAATCAAACAAGTAACAAAAATTTAAATATCTGGGAAGTGTTTTAATGGAGGACAGAAGTGCAACACCGAAATCCAAAGATGCATTGGGATAGCAAAAGTTGATTTATAAAAACTAAGTAAAGTATTAGGAAACAAGAAAATTTAATTAGCAACAAAGAAAAGAGTACTGAACTGTTATGTAATATCAGTCCGCCTATATAGCAGTAAAAATGAAAAATCTGCTCATGGATGAAGAAAAGACTTGAGGCAACAGAAATGTGGTTCTACAGAAAGATGCTGAGAATATCATAGACCAAACATGTGAGCAACACAAAGTTTTAGAGAAAATGGAAACCTAAAAGGACTTTATACTTAACATCAGAAAAAGACTGTTGAAATGTCTAGGGCACATAATGAGGAAAGAAGGCATGGAAAATTTGATACTCACAGCAGAGATTGAAAGCAAGAAGGACAAAGGAAAAATGCATAACCTATATAATGAGCTTGAGTTAGAGTATGGATGGCAGAACAGGTTTCAGTAGAAATAACAAAAAGACAAAATTTATTAAGAGTGACAAAGGACAGGAAATTCTGGAGCTCCATGATTGCCAGTATACTGAAAGGACATGGCATGGAAGAGTCTCTCATTATAATTCATTCTATACTCTAGGTATTTTTTCTTTCTTTATTATGAACATTGCATCCTTTTGAGGTGCATGTCATTTATTTTCTTATTTCTTTTATTCTTTTCATGCCTGCACTATTGGTGATGCTCAGTCTTTCTCTCGGCTCTTTTCACGGCTTAAATCAATTAATCATTTGACATGCTGTTAGAGTTATCTCCCTTGGATCATTATCTCTTATTAAAGGTTGAGAATCCTTTATTCGAAATTCTTGTGACTGAAAGTGCTTCGATTTTCAGATTTTTTTTTTGATTTTGGAATACAGGCTATTTAATTTATATATAGCATCTATAAAATGGGGCAGTTTGAAAATGGAACCCAAGTATAAACACAATATCCCTTTATATTTCATAACACAGCTTATACATATACCTTGAAGGTAGATTTATATACCCTGAAATTAGTTTTATATAAAATTTAATAAATTTTGTGTATATATATTCATCCCATACTGATTTGGTGGAAGTGAGGTCAGGAGACTGAGGCGACCAAGTCATAATTTCCAAAATTTTGTTCCTTTTTTTTTTTTTTTTTTTTTTTTTTTTTTTGAGGTAATTTTGACATAATTTAGAGGAGTGTTTTGGATTGTTGTTTTATTGAAAGGTGAATTTTTTCTAATTATGTGTAAACCAGAGTGTATAGCATGTCTTTTCAAAATCGAATATTAGTGTTCTTTTTTAAATGATTCCCTTGACATGAATCAAATTTCCAGCCTGTTTGGTAATCTCAAAAAGTCTACTGAGCAGTTTATGGTGAAAAACACAATATAACAATTCTCATCCAAAAATATTCATAATTTAGCAAAATATATTGTGGACAAATCCAATTTTGAATTTTTTTGATGGTAATTTTTTGTAGTTACTTAAAAAAAATACAAAGATATCTTATTTTAAGGTATTGTTTTCAAGAAATGCAGAGTAGTGCCTGTAGTGTATATATACAGTGGTTGCAGAAATACCTTCCAAATAATGGTAAGACATTAGCTAGATGAAAACACCGGTGCCACCAATGTCTTAGCATTATGTGGGAGATATTTCAGTTGTAACCTATATAATAGCTGGTTACTCAATTTCTGAGCACATTTATTGGTTAAAGTAACTCACCAGTCTCTTTTGTAGTCATCTGCACAGGCACATTTGTGTTTGTTCAGCACCCACAGAGCCCACCTGTGGATTATGCAAGAAACTATAATGAGTAGACCTTTATGGGGGAGAGAACACATAATCTGTGATGATCAGCAGTTTGAACAACGCCAATACACTCAAACCATTGGTCATGATGACTTGTGACTTTGTTCTACCATCAATAGCTTCTGAACAGTTTTGTCTACCCAACTGAACTCACAAGGCTTGGGTTAACCTGGGGTATTATTTCCGGCACTTGCCAAAAGTTCTGCACACAAAGATCAGCTTCCCAACCAATAACATCAAGGAGTCACCTCCATGACAAATTGATGATGAGATTCAAACCCAGATTCCATTGTTGTAAAGCAAGCATTATATATATATATATATATATATATAAAAAGTTTTTCTTTCAAATATATTTGTTTAAATAATAACACTGAATAATTTTCAAATTTCTGAATTAGTTTTATGTCATCAGCAAATTTGCCAAAGTTTATATTTATTTTTATTTATTTTTTATTTCTTTGGGGTACTTTCAAATGTTACTACATTTGTCTTCAAGGATTGTATATTTACACAAACGAGAGAACAATGGAATGTTTGAAAGAATTATTGCTGCTCAAATACACCTTATTTAAAATATATAATAAAATATTGTCTTAAGTTATCATATATTTATGGGTAAAAGTGCTCAATATAAGTGAAATAGCATGTGTAAATATAAGAAAAAGGTCAACACCAAGTGGTGACAATCTGTTTCAAGCATGAACACTGTCAGGCCATGGAGATTGCATGAAACAGACTATCGCCACTCTGTGTTGGCTTCAGTATCCACTCTATATATATATATATATATATATATATATATATATATATATACTTTCCATATTATATACAGTTTAGCAAATTTGGCTCAGTACAGTATCTATTTATTATATAAAAAATTTTTGTATTTTAAAATTAAGTAATATGTAAAAACCTTTTTTCTTTCTATATAAAATAATTTTTTAATTATCATCTAAGCCTAATACCATTCTTATCTTTGTAGGCCAAAGGTTATGACACATCCCAACATATTTTGGCTTGTTTTGGGGGTGCTGGAGCTCAACATGCTTGTTCAATTGCACGTTCTTTGGGAATGTCCCAAGTCTTCATCCACCGGTATGTCATCTACAAATACAAAACAAAAAAGATACCCTAAATATATAAATATTTGTTTGTGTCTGTATGTGCGTTTGTCTGTGTGTGTGTCTGGGTTGCCAGATTGGGCTAGCAAATTGTAATTCCAAATTGTTAGTACATTCTTTTCGTCATTAGCCCAAGTTAGTTCACCAGCCCTAAAAGTCTCAATTAGTAGAATTCATAATTTATTAGTGATGGACTTTTCAAAGTAGCCCAGTCTGACAGTTATGTTTTTTTTGTCTGTTTAAAAATATAATTAGAAAATTCCTTCTGGTCCCAGTCTGGGATAAATTCTGTTAAATGATGCTAACTAGTAAAACAGTTTTTCTACTTCACAGTCTCTTATCCTCAGACAAAATGTTGCTAGCCTCTCACTATTCTGTCACTAATTACTATGGTAGATGTTCAAAACCTTTACAGCTACAACCCACCTGACTGAGTTTACTCGTCTTCATTCCCTTCATATTCCATTAGTGAGGAGGAAGTTCCACTCAGAGAGCTTCTTCCCCAGAAGTGTTGTATGATGGAGTAGACACCCAAGGGGATGCATCACTGATCACTAGTCTTAACATCTTCATGTTGACAGTCAACCATTATCTTTCCTACATATCTTCATAATATACACCTCTTGCTCCTTCCCTGTATACCCTTGCAACAATCTCATTTAGTAACCCTCTGCTTTGAGTGGTCCTTGGGCTTTGTAGTAAGTGAACAATAATAAAAAAAAAAAAACTTCATATGCAAAAATAATTTATAAAAGAAAGTATATATATATATATATATATATATATATATATATATATATATATTCTGTTTGTTATTTTTATGGATACAACTTATTTGAGTAAATCCTCTGTTTTTAATTAAACAGTATTACATTTAACAGCCTGGCTGTTTGAGAAATTTTGTAGAAAATGTGTTCTCTAACAGGAATCAAACCTGTATTTCATACAGAAACCATCATTCTGAGCCTGATGTGCTGTTAACCACAGCCACAGAGAAGAGCACATCAGGCTAAATGACTGTCTCCATATGGAATACAGGTTTGATTCCTATCTTTGTTGGGACACTTTTCTTCTGGGTGTCCGATTCAAGCCAGATGCATTTTCCCAGTTTTTTGTCCAGATCTTTAAATGTTATTTCAATGACCACCCAGGTTCCTTTATCGGCAACATGTTTTTCTATTTGACATCTTCGACGATACATTAATGCTTTCTTTCTCAGGAAAATGGGGAAGAATGGGTAGTCTTGGTTTTGCTCAATCTTACTGAATTCTGTCTAGTTAAATTTGGGTTTGATTCTCCTTGGAACTTCACTTACTACTTTGAACATGATTTTCCAATACATTTTGTTTTTAATTTTCTTCTCAACTTTTCAATTCAACTTCCTGTGACTTTTTCCTCTTCCTTTGTTTCTTTTTTTTTTTTTTTTTTTTGATACCTGCTACCATGGCTTCATATCCTTCATAAATTTAAGTAATGTGATTTACACAAGTTCATTAGGTAGTTTATTTGCTGTTTCCCTATTTCATTATTATTATATTATTACTAGTTTTACTCTATCATATTATTCGCCCTGTCGGTGGGGACTGTAGAATACGCCGACTGCACCTCTGCAGAGGAGTAAGATCCCCACCCCCATGGGGCTGTCCTGAGTATGACGATAAACTACATCTGCATCCAGGGTAAGACAATAAACTATGTCCAACAGCAAGGTTTCTGATCAGGAGCGTGGAACCACCTCTTAATTGCTGGTGTTCCCAGGTCCACTCTGACCTGGGGTGGTAGCACCTGTTAGGGTCCCAGCTATGGGTAATGTTACGTGTTGATAATTGTAACAAAGGAAAAAAAAAAGATTTATCACAACACAGAGCTAAATCACAAACAAATATTTAATTTACTAAAACACAACATAAAATATATACAAGATAAACAATTGTGGCCTACAAAACAGAAAACACAGAGTTACTGGTGAAGTGTTACGAGGGAGAAGGAAAGGGAATCAAATATCTTTATCACTTTAGGGCTAGTGAAGTAATCTAAGTGCTATATTTGGAAATCCACAAAGGTGTGTAAATAAATATTAATTTTTAGTTTGGTCAATGAAAATTAGTCAAAATTCTATTTACCAAATTTGTTCCATGAAATTCTCTTTTGGGTTTTTGTTGGTTGGCAACTTTTTATAGAGATTCTTTCGGTTGGATATAATAGTCCTTGAATCAAAAGCCGGAGTTGATAACAGCAGAAATTCCTTTTCATCAACTGACAACCCTTTTCCAAAATCCCATTTTTATAGGGGCTAACACCTAATTTGCATATTTCTAGATGTTTCTCGAATCATCTAAATTTTTCTCGAATATACTAGAATGATCTAGAATCTTCCAAACATTCTATTTCTAATTTCTCTGTTTTACAACTACTTCATGAATGAAAACTTTTTGTAATAGCAAGTAGAACTCAGTGGAATCCCTTATTATAGAAATGCATCCTCGTAACAGTAAATAGTTAACCCCCGAAACTGAGGTAAAAAGCATTATAAAAGTGTAAAAATAGGTTTTAATACCAGAAATACTTTGTAAAAAAATTATTACCAGAAATAAATTTTTGAAGAAAAAAACTATTACCAGCTTTACATTTTTGAAGAAGAAAATATTACCAAAAATAAACTTTTGACGAAACAAAAAAAAAGTTGTCGGCATTAAATAACCCATTGAGGTTGATATGCTGTAAAACAAAATAAACCAAGCCATCTTATTATTGTTGCTGTTTATCCCAACACTTTGGGTCAATACACTCTTCATTATTACTATTACTTTATTACTATTTTTATTCCATCTTATCATTGTTGCTTTTTATCACAACACTGGTCAATAAATGATTTAGCCATGCAGACAACCAGATATGTCATCTTTCCAAAAGTTGTTCAGACTGTTGAACTCATTCTTTTTAGTCTAACCACAATGTTTCATGTCATCCATAATAAGAAAAGAAATAGAATGAATGCAGTAATTTCAGACAGTTTTTGATAGTAACTCCTTCTCAAAATTGTAGATGTAAGTTATGTCCATATTCTTGACTTTATGTTGTTTGTTCTTTTGAGTAGAATGTTTATCAAACCATAAAGCTTGAAAAACAATGATCAAACATAAGAAGACATATCGTTGTGTACAGGAATTGTTTTCTGAAATTATTTGGTTAAAAAAAATTTTTTTATCAAAAGGAAGGCATGAAAGTTTACAATCATGAAATTTGGTTACCTGGCCAATTTGGCATTTTTAAGAACAAAATTTTAAAAGTTTCTTCCCCAATGGAGAGGATACTTAGGACAACAGAGTTATGGTTACTGAGAATACCTTGGACAGAGTGTGTGAGCAACAAGACAGTTTTAAGTAAAATGAAACCAAAAAGAACACTTAGAAAGAGAAAGTCGACATTTCTGGGACACATTTGAAAATAACAGGATATATTGAAGCTGTTATACTCCACTGAAAATTAAATCTTTCTGATACACTCTATAAGTCAAACAGATGTGAGCACTAAGAAAGCAAAACCAAAAAAAAAAAAAAAATCTTCTGTGCAGGGGCTCCAAGCATTACATCCAGCCCACAAAGCAAATACTTGCAAAAATATAAAATAAATATAAAATATAAAAGAAGCCAATCACAAACATTGCCGCCAAAGAAAAAAGATGAGTGTGGGACTCATCAGATTTGCTTAAAAGAAAGCCCCCTCATAAATAACTGACACAGAATATGGCTGACAGGTTAGCTGTTGACACCGATAGGCTCTTGGTGTCACAACCGTGATTTCAGTCAAGTGACCCAACATAAATATCCACTTGGAACCCACCCTCCTCCAAACATCTGCACCATGACCACAGAGTCAATTCACCTTCTCTGTATCAACAATGTCAGATTCACAGCTTCACTCTAGGCCACTCTCACCATCACTACTGAGACCTCAGTCAGTTCACTGTAATGGCAACCAGATTCATGGCTTCACTATCACCCTCCAGATCTCTCTTGTCGTTATCACTGCAATCTCCGTCAATCAACCCAAATGCACTCTAGGTCTTATCAACTCTTTCCACATCCAAAATAGCCAGTAGCTGTTAAACCACAGCTATGAAAATGGCATGCTTTGCCAACAAGGAGCAATTCAGCTTAACACCTCTACATTGCCACATCAACTTGAGCCTCATGACTGCTGACCCATCCACACACTTCAGCAGCATCAATTTCGACCTTAAAGATAGATCAATACCACCAACAACACTCCACTCATTCTACCAACTGTATATACCTCGTCAATGCATACTGGTGAATCCACACCAGATAAGTCCTTTTAACTACATACAATGACATTGAGTATTATGTATATATTCTAGAAATTGGTAAATACACATTTGTTGAAATTTTAATCTGTGTTTATTCTTTCCTTTGCAACCATACACTGGATATAACAAAGTCAGGAGGAGCATAGGGAAATCGTAAGTAACCTAAAAATCTTGTGTAAATGGATAGCAAAATAGGAAGTAGGACTGGTTGATTGATTTTGTTTTTTTACTACTTATCAAACTTTTGTGAGTTATTTAAAGCCAAGATATTTTGGATTGTAATTATTTTTTTTTTTTTTTTTTTTTTTGCAAGGGAATATTGCATTATCAATTTTTTTTAGAATAGCAATGATTTTTTCCAGATACAAATCCTAGTATTTAATCCATAGCTGGGGGAGATGAATTAATACCTTTTCCAAAGGTAAAATCCTAGGTTTGTATGTAAGTGAATGTAACAAACCTGACTTGAACTCAGCTCTCCTTATCTCCAATTCTGAGTCACTATCCATTACACCATCAGCACATCCACACACGGAATAGGAAAGATAGTAAAAAGATAAATATTGCTAAATACTACAAAAGATAGAATATTGTGGATAGCTGTGATTGCCCATGTCCTGAAGGGTCATAGCACACAGAAAAAGGCATCTTGTTAATAATTTACTATTGTTGACTTGATTGCACAAGCAATCAACAGCGTGTTTCAAATTTTGCTAACATTCTGCCAAAGATAATGCTGTGGACTTTTGCATCAACATAATGCTTTTGACTATTTCTTCACTATTTTCAGATTTGCAGGAATTCTTTCTGCTTATGGCATGGCACTGGCTGATGTTGTCCATGAAGAACAAGAACCTTGTGCTTCCTTTTATGAACAAGGTAAGTTTTCTTTTTTGTTTTTGTCTGAAACTTTGAAAAGAGTTCTTCTTTGCAGGTACTTTTTATTGAGTGAAGGACAACTCTGCAATGCCAACTCAACTCCAGCTAACTCATCTCCATGACAGCTAAACTGCAGGACAACTCACCACCAGCCTATTCAGTATGAGGACAACTCAATGACATCCAATGAAATTTTTTTGTCGACTTTTTTTTTTTTTTTTAAAGTAATTTATTAAGGATCCTTTTTTAATACATTATTTTTAATTTCAAAATTTATTGAAAATTGCATGCAATTCCCCTCAAATATTCAGTTGGATACCATTGTGAATTAAAGAAACAATCTACCACTTGTCCCTTCAGCCCCTCAACCTCCAGCGTCTTCCTCTTTGGGTTGAGGCACCCACTCGGTCTGAACCAAACTCAGGTGTAGCTGGCCGCACGCTCCCTGAGTACCCGTAGATTGTTCAACCGGTCACTGGCCAAGTTCCGCCTGCTGCCCACGTTGTGTTAGTTTTTAGATCCAGTAAGCAGGGTGTTGTCCATACGTTCACGGTCGAGTAGGGATGTAGGCACGGCTGTGAGGGTGGGTGACAGGAAAATTAGAATGTGGCAAACAAGGAAATAATATCTGCAGAAGCCAAACAACAATGGGTAAAATATTGATGTCTTTCATATAAGAAAACAACAGCAGTAGAAAGAGTTTACAGAAAGGATAGAAAAGCAATTAACATAAGAACAGAGGACCACTCCTCTACCAATTATACCAACAGAGAGAGGTGTGTGTGATTAACTCGTTCCAAATCAACTTGGGAAGATATGTGTGGACTGTAATTCCAGCCCCACGTGGAAGTGTAGCTTTTCAGTTGGTTGTCGTAAGTGACAAACGTTAAGTTTCAGCGACTTTTCAATGCGACTGCTACAACAACGATGATATTTCTTGAAGTCCTTATCTCTGACTCGCCACTGGACCGACTCACTGCAATGACAGTCTCTCTCTCTCTCTCAACGTCACTCTCGTCTAACGCTCAAGTCCCCCCAACAGCAAAACTTGCGTTTGTATAGCAAACCGAAGGCTATAAGCCAGGTTGTTCACGCACTTAACACAAGTTTTGCCATAAGCAAAGTTTAAATTCAGATCTATTTCAAATCTCTTAGTGGATAAAATTAATTAGTTCAATGTTCATTTCAATTGTCTTTTCAATGACCAAATTCATACAACTTATGTTTAGATCAGATTTCGCTAGCTTCTATTTGCTGCTTCAGCATGGTTATTTGTTCAATCTTGAAAATTAAACACCAGTCAGCCAAATAGGCTGTTGTAACTAATAAATTACTAAGACAAACTGCCAAACATTTCAAAAACTCTACAATTCAAAGCTGATCTATGACAACCAACACTGAAGGTATAAATTCAGCACCAGTGTTAAGTTGTTCTTGCACTGACTAGGTTGGTAGTGAGTTTCATGGAGATGAGTTGCCTGGTGTTGAGTCGCCTGGTGTTGAGTCAGGGATGATGAAATGTCCCATCCTGTTTTTCATTACATCTCAAAAATATCTACAATATTCCTTGATAAATCAATATTTCTAACTTAATACAATAGCTTATTAAGTTTCAATTTGGAACTGATTCCCCAAATAAATGTCTTTTTTGCAATATTATCTTCAGTTTTATTTGTAGATGAAGCATTGTCTATTATTATTATTAACTTTCAGCTAGTATTTAATCTTAATTTTACTTGCTTTATTTATACTAGTATTATAATTAGTAATATTGTAATGTATTATTATTATTTGGTAAGGTATTGTCAGCCATTATTAAATTTCAATACTCAGAATCAAATCAAACTATATAATAATTATCGATGTGTATTTATTTATATACTGCCTGTCCCATCTGTAGTGGGAAGGGAGGTAAATCAACTTAATAAATTTATGAGTGATTATTTCCCTTAGTTTTAATAATCTATACAAATAAAGCATTTATCTGCATATAGACGAGTTGCTAAGCAAAATGAACCATTTAATTAATTGGTTCCTTTTCTCCTACATTTCTTAGATTGCATTATTTTTTTAAGTCTTTCATGTGAGGCACTCAGATACTTTTGGCTATTAAGTGATCATCTTGCTTCAACTTTGTAAAAAAAAAAAAAAAAAAAAAAAAAATAGGCTTTGTTGTTGCTGTTATTTTGTTTCTAATCTTCTTCTTCCAAGAGATATTTCCAATTCACTCTTATATTAACCACAAAATTTTTAACTTGAAAAAGGTATTGACCAAAAAGCAATTTATGATACCAAGAGTAATCAATGAATCATAGATACAATTAAATGTCTATAATATATAATTGGAACAGATTAAATGGTTCATCTGTCTTTATTTTAGTTGTGTATTCTTTACCCCTCCTCACCTTATTGAATCCCAATATATTGTTTCAAGATTTTTCTTTCATTACATCTCACTATTAAAACTTTCTAACAATTGCTATGATTTTTGATAGCATGAGTACACTAGTGATATCAGAAAGAGCAATACAGATATAAAAGGATATATTATTCATATTGTCTTTTTACAGATATATTTTAGTTATATCCATGTAACACCATATCCTCACCCCACTGGACCCATGCACTCCACAAGGCCAGCCATTGGTCTGGTATGGTCCAATATTACAGGTTAGACACAAGTCTCTAGTTCCCAATGTCAATTCAAAGCCACTCTCCAGCCATATTGTTATTGTTTTGATCCTGGACAGTGGTCATCAGATCGTAGAAATCTGGAAGCTCTCCATTGGTCCACCAAGTCGATTTGATTTTGAAAGGGCAAAAGTTTTTTTTATATATAAAAGCAAACACACAAAAAAATAATTCTTGTTGCACAAGGTTGAATGTTTCTTGTATGTGAACAATAACCAAACACAAATACTTCAAATAATTTCAGTAAGGAGAGATGTGGCCTTTGTTTTAACCCTTTTTGGTCTGTTCTTAGTGCAACTACTACAACCTTCGATGTTCCCGTTCTCAGTAGTAGTAATAGTAGTAGTTGGAGTAGCTGTACTTAGATGTTAGTGGCGGTATTTCGCTTCTTTGCCCTCAGCTTCAGCAACACACAGCAGACGCTTCCTTTTCAATCTCTGACGTCTCTTCACTTAGTTTGACTGCATTCAAAGACAGACAAACCCAAACTTCCAGTTGGCTCACCTCTTTATTAAGAGAACCGGCCTCACGTCTCAGACTGGTAACATATTTTTCTAGTGCAAATGTACTGATAAGTACCAAAGTACAACTTCACTCCTCTGAGAATAAACAATTTACTTTTTCATCTATAGGTTTCCAAGGTTCACAACAAGATGCTATTGTTTATCACTTTGCTATTAATTATTCTGCCGCTCTTTGTAAACTACAGACATTCTTGTTTTAAAAATAAATTCTAGATCAAAACATCCCTGATTTTAACTTCAATTCTTATAGTGTCCAAATCCATTTCATTTTTTAAAAATTCCAAATTATTATTGTTCCAGTAATTTTCTATTGGTAATCTGATATCCTTTGTACACTTACAAAAAGATTGTATTTTGTGTTCTAAATTAACTTTCTGTAACATTTCCATTTCAAAGTCTTTACAGCATATTAACATCTTGGTTATTCAAAAACAACTTTCTTTCACTTGGTGTTTTGTGTTTTACAAGATATCCTCCTTTATTATCATTATTATTATTTCAGGGGTGATATCGCCCCTGCCAAATTCAAATTTTTATACAAAAAGGATGTATATCTATGTTTTATAGATTATGCAAAAGTGTTTGATAAAGCATACCACAAAGAACTATTTGAACTGTTAGGTAAGCTTAATTTATTTGGGAAGGATATTAAAATAATACAGAACTTTAGTAAATCTACAAAAATAGAAAGAGTCTTAAGACAAGGATGTGTCTTCTCACCAGACTTATTCAACGATTACAAGCAACATCATGTTGAAACACTGGTTCTAGTGTGATCACCAAAGTTAAGCAATGTTAAGCCTGGTCAGTACCTAGATAAGTGACTGCTTGGGAAAACCAGTTGTTGTAAGCTTGTATATGCTGGTGGTGTAATGGATAAAAGCTCAGAATCGTTAATCAGAGAGCTGAGTTCCAATTCACATTGGGTTTGTTATATTCACCTAGGTACAACTATCCTTGGGAAAGATATGAATCCAGCTCACCTCCCCCCCCTCGGCTATAGATTAATTAGTAAGATTTGTATCACAACCAATATTATTTCCAAAAATAAATTCTTACAATCTAAGAAAATATTTTCTGGCTCTTAATAACTTGTTATAGGTTGATAAGCTGTAGAAAATGAATCGGTCAAACTTTACAATGACAGAATCCTGCGAGAAGTCATACCAGGATTCATTATTGTCGACCATAATCTTAAGAACATTAGATATGCAGACGATACGTTGTTGATGAGAGACACAGAAAGGAAACTACAGGAACTCCTGCAGAAGATAGTAAATGAAATCAAGACATCAACTGTAAGAAGGTATATGGTTGTCAGTAGAAGAAAATGCCCAACGTGCAAATTTATACTGGGAGCAAACTACGTGCATATGAATTCAATAAATATACAAAAATAGAAAGGGGCATAAGACAATGTGTTTTTTCACCAGACCTTTTCGATCTTAACAGTAAATCAATCCTGAGAGAATTAGAAGTCCTACCAAGATTCATTATTGATGCTTACAGACTTAACAACATTAGATATGGATATGACACAGTGTTGATAGCAAACACAGAAAGGAAACTGCAGGAAATCTTGCAGAAAGTGGTAAAAGAAAGGATGCAAATTTTCACACTACTTTCAACTGATCTTAGCTGGCATGTGCTGATCAATCCTAGTCTCCAACCTGTGACTGTTTCTGCCAACATATTCAGCATCACAAATAATTTTTTCCTTTATCCTTGCTTTTCCTCACCATTGTTTTATATTTTTTGTATCCTTTACATAATTCTTTTATGTTGAAAGTACTTTGAGGGATTACTAATAAAAATATTACCAACTATAAAAACAATAGCAATATTTATGGTTTTTCAGTTAAACTTGAATCCGTTAATTTTTAAAACTTCAGATAGATGTCGTCCCTCACTGAATTCGAACCCCACAAATTATATTAATGTTTGTTTAATAAGTCAAATGCATGTGAAATCTGATTAACCAATGAAAATCAAACAACACAAAAATAAAAAATACCAGAAAGTCTTTCTTCTTTTTCTCCATATCTTATCCTCTGATGAAGCATTAATAAAAGTGAAACATGTTAGATTGATAAACGTTTCCTGTTTGTTCTTTATCTTATTGTCGGATTCGATCCATATTTGATCAATATTTGATCCAATCCCATTTTTGTATATATTTATATATACTTTTGAAATATCTGTTTTTAAAAACTTTAATAAAATTTTGTACACCCCACCCACTGGTAATTTAAGTACTGATTGCTTTTAAACTTGGTATGTTTTCAGATTTTCTATCAATACTTAACAAATTTACTGGTATTCCACAACTCTTACATTCAGCTTTAGTCATTTTTAGCACAAAGTAAGCATTTCTGACAGTAAAGGTACAAATGAAACGACAAATATTACAATTTAAAACCCAAAGTAGCTTTTAACAAATTTAAACATTTATTCTATATATGTTGTGGGGAAAAAAATTACAAAAAAAAAGGAAAATTAAATTAAAAGGTATTGTTATTGGTCAGAAATTAATTCATGTGCCACAGACAGAACAGGACTATTAAATGTATAATTATCTTTTGTTTCTAATTTCAGATTCTTTTAATCACATTGATCAACGAATTACTTTCTTAGCTCAGAAATGTGTAGATGCTCTCAAATTGCAAGGTTTCCGTCAGTATGTATTTTGGTCTTTCTTCTTCTGATGATATTTTGTAAAGTATTTTATATTGTTGCGACTTTGCTACAAAAGACTTTAACTTTAAAAAAAAAAAAAAAACTCCTTCCTTATAAAACTCTTGCATGCTTTAGATATAGTCTTGAACCAATTTTTTTTTTATAGTCCCCTACAACTTTTATAGTAATAATAAAAAATACCATAATCCTTTATGCATAGATCACTAGATTGCAGTTAAAAAAGCAGAGAAATTCCAGGATGAAAAAATAGCTCAATTTCATGTATAGGAAGTACCTAATTTTAGAGCAAAGAAAATGAGCAAAACTTGGGTATGATGATAAACTACATATAGGAGCAAGGCCCCTGATTGGGAGATTGATGGAACCACGTCTTAATTGCTGTTGTCTCCAGGTCCACCCTGATCAGGAGTGGTAGCACTTGTTAGGGTCCCAGCTATATGCAATTAGTGAACCCCCAAACAAAAATCAAAACACTCTGAAAGTATAAAAATACATCTTTATAGTAAAAATACCAACAATACATTTTTATATAAAAAGAATTGCCAACACTATATATTTATAGTAAAATTACCAACAATACATATATATATAGTAAAATTATACAATTTTAAAGCAATATGACCAATTTAAAGCAGAATGACCAACAATACATTTTATAGTAGATATAGTAGAATTACCAACAATACATTTTACAACAAGACTACTAACAATACATTTTATCTGTAGTTGAAGGCATACAATTGCATTCAAAATATTTAGATTTCAGAATTAAATAACCCATAGAAGTTGATATGTTGGTAAACAAAATCAACGAACCAACCAGCAGGTGCAGGAAACATCAAACTTGGTAATTGGTTGTTTGTAAAATTTGCTAAACGTTCTTATTGTGAAATAGTCATTAATTGCCTTTCAATAAAAAAAAAAATTAGTTTTGATGATTTTGTTTATTTTGAAATCATACATTTTTTTTTATGTTTCTTTTTTTTATCGTAAATTAAATAATATTTCTACCTTTTGAATGATTTCCACACTCATGTTGCTTTCTAGACTCAATGAAACCTGGACAAACTACAGAATAATACAAATCTGAGAGGAATGTTATGAAAGATTTCTCTTCATTGCGATACACCATTTGTTATTAGCAGAATTTTTTGCCGAGTATTAGAGTGCTCATCGACATTTCCTTCTGTGTGAAATGAGTCCTATGTTGGATCTGAAGAGACATCCATAGCCACTGCATAGTAGGATAGAAGGGTTCAAGAGATGGAAAACTCTGGCTTTTCTTTGGGCTCTCTTCCTCTTTTCTAGTTGCCTTCTGTTGTTTTCAACGGATGTGATTTTTTGTGGACTGCTCTTCTCCAATTGGTTCTTTTTACAGTTTCCATCTCCCAATTGACAGGATCAATTTCTGTCCTCGGCAAGGCATTTCTGAGCTGATCCTCGAATCAATGACATGGGGTTCCACCTTGTCTCTTGCCAGATGCAAGTTCTGAGAAAAGAAATTTTTGGAGTAGGCATATGCCTGCCATTCGGGCAAGATGTCCAGCCCATAGAAGCCTGTAGCAAGTCATGGTGGTTTTACTAGGTTCATCTTTAATACGTCTAGATAGATATTATCTCTTAGGTAAACTCTTTCCAAATACTCTACACTTTCGTCAGATTGACACTCTGTTCATACTGGAGCTTCTGGTGCGAATGCCAAGCAGTACAGAATGCCGTTTCCAAATTTTACAGACGGTGCCCAACTGATCCTACTATACTGTGCAGTTGATAAGACCAAAAACAACGCAAATGCACAAAATAAAAAATATATGGCAACAATTTTCCCATCTCACCCTGTGTGTGTATGTATGTATATATATATATATATATATATATGATCCATTTTTACATTGTTCAAACTGTTGCCCTCATTTTTGTTGGCATACTCACAATGTTTCGGCCTTTGTATACACAGGCCTTCTTCAGGTGATTAGAAATTCAATTAGATTCAACTAATGCTTTTATCCAGTGGGTCATGTTGCGAATTCAATACCTGGCTACAACAGAGGTGAACAAAAACTTGGAGAGTTGAGTTAAAGGGAGATAACTGATACTGAGATATCCCAAAGAGGCATGGCATGTGGAACTAGAACAATCTACCCCGGTGGACGAAATAAAGGATTTTGGTTTAAAATTCCAATCACCTGAATATGGCTGGAATGTATGACCAAAACGTTGTGGATATGGCAATAAAGATGAGGACAACAGTCTGAACAATGCAAATAGTATAAATAATAGCAATACTTCATCTCAGAAATATAGACATATATATATATATAAATACATATATATATGATCCCATCAATGAAAACATTATTTTGTCTGAAAAATCCTTTTGAAAGACAATGTGTCATATAGGATTTTTACCTTTTTGTTATTCAATTACCCACTATATAAAATATTATGTAACATATATATTATATTGCATATATATATATATATATATATATATATATATAATTAACTACATAATTTATTATAATAAATTAGGATAACAGTGGGAAAATTTGTTGCGATTAATTATCGATTCTTGAATCATGTATTATTGGACGATGCATTGTACCATTTTGCTAAATCTTTATTGTTTAGATGAGAGTCTGCTTCAGTCATCCTTTTTAAACATATTGCTGGTTTTTATACCCAATTTCTGCATCTGGGTATGCTGTGCAAATATTATTTGTCTTATCTAGTGCTTTGGTAAAGAACATGCTTTAATATATTTACTGACATATGATACCCTTGTATATCTGCTACTCTGTGTATTCCCACTGGCACAGATGTGCATCATGTGGTGCTCAGGCAAAGAACAAAGCCAGTGCAAATTTTATTATAGTTTTATAGTAAACTAGCAGTAGAGCCCAGCGTTGCCCAGGGATGTAACAGTAAGAGATAGATCAAGTATCGACCATCATAAAGACTGAAAAATAAAATTGACAAAGATTATTGTTTAAGGTTGACGGACACGCATGTCTTAATTAATTCTTTTTTTTTACGAATTGGTCAAACCCAAACTCAAACAAAAACATTGTTTTCAATCATTATGAATCTACCGATTGAATAGAATTTTATTATAAACAATTGTCTTGTAAATGGAATTTTTAAAGCATTCTGAATGTAAAAATAAAGAAAAAAGTCTGTAAGACAATAAGAGACATTACCTACCAAAAAAAAAGTGAAGTTTTGTTGCAAAATGTAGGAAATCCGATCCCATATATAAATGAACACACACACACAAACAACCTGGGTTTTATAATAAAAAGTATAACTCGATATGAGTTGTCCCCCTTTCATTCATTTCAGTGATGCCTCTTAATCATGTTTTCCAATTGATTTTGTGCAAAAACAATTATGTTTTTCCAATTTTTGGCGCTGTCAGAACCACCACAAGGTAATTCTACGTTGTCCTGTGAAGTTTTGTTGAAATTGGTTGAAACATGTAGGAAATCTGATCCAATATATAAACGTACAGACACACACACACAACCTGGGTTTTATAATATGTATGATTTATATTTAAATTTTTTATAGTTTTATAATTTTTTACTATAATTTCTTTTTATAGTAAATTTTATTATAGTTTAGTAAATTAAATTTTATTTCCTTCATTACTGATAACACATGATACCTGTGTATATCTGCTATACTATATATTTCCCCTTGCACAGATGGGCATCACATGGCACTAGGGAGGTAAAAACAGTCAGTGTCAGGCATGTTCATTAATGTCATTCTTTATAGTTTAGTAAATTAAATTTTATTTATCTGAATAAAGCATAAGTAATCTTCTATTACAACTTCTAATGGTAATACAAACATTATGTAAGGATATTGAATCCATTGCTAGGTCAGTTGCCAAGAAAGTTTGTTCACTATGTCATGTTAGACAATTTTTCTCTCTAAAATCTCTTACATATCTATAAGTCTACCATTGAACAATGCTTAGAATATTGCTGCCACATATATTCCAGTGCTCCTGCTGTATATCTAGAGATCTTACTTATTATAAAACGCAGATTGTGTGTGTCTGTACATTTATATATTGGATCGGATTTCCTACATTTTTCAACTGATTTCAACAAAACTTCACAGGACTACGTAAAATTACCTTGTGGTGGTTCTGACAGCACCAAAAATTGGAAAAATACAATTGTTTTTGCACAAAATCAATTGGAAAACACGATTAAGAGGCATCACGAGAATGAAAGAGGGACAACTCATATCGAGTTATACTTATAAAACCCAGGCTGTTTGTGTGTGTGTGTGTGTGTGTGTTCATTTATATATGGGATCGGATTTCCTACATTTTTCAACCTATTTCAACAAAACTTCACTTTTTTTTTGGCAGGTAGTGTTTCTTATTGTCTTGCACACTTTTTTCTTTATTTTTACATTCAGAATACTTTAAAAATTCCATTTACAAGACAATTGTTTATAGTATAATTCTATTCAATTGGTAGACTCATAACGATTGAAAACAATGTTTTTGTTTGAGTTTGGGTTTGACCAATTCGTAAAAAAAAAAAAAAAAAAACTAATTAAGACTTGCGTGTCTGTCAACCTTAAACAATAATCTTTGTCAATTTTATTTTTCAGTCTTTATGATGGTTGATACTTGATCTATCTCTTACTGTTACATCCCTGGGCAACGCTGGGCTCTACTGCTAGTCCTTGATAAAATCCAAAGAAGAATCAACAATATTATTGGTCCTGACCTGGCATCTTGGCTTCAGTCAGTTTCCCACTGCTGTAATGTAGCTTCCCTGTGCCTTTTCTATAAATACTTTCATAGTAACTGTTCAGATAAGCTTTTTGCTATGGTACCGAGACTTTGATTTTAAGTGCCGTACCAGACTGACGAAAAGGTCTTATCAATTTACAATTGAATTGACTATATGTAACCATAAGTTCTATGCTAACAGTTTCTTTTCTCCCATTTCCTGCTTGTGGAACTCTTTTCCAGCTCCATGCTTTCCAGTTAACTTTAATCTTTAAAAATTTAAATGCAATGTCAATCACTATCTACTGTCTTCCTGATTATTCTTCTTTTGTTCTCACTCCTTAGTAATGTTTTCTGTTTTTTAATTCTTCCACACTCAGTAATCCCTTGTGTCTTAGTGGCTTTACTGCCTTGTTTGGGGTGAACTTGATTTAAAAAAAAGTTTCAAATATGCAAAGTCAATATATTAAAAGAAATTTTCAAAACTTTATTATCCAAAGTATTTAGTTTTCTAGAGAAAAGTTTATCAGAAAAATCAGTCATCCTTTTTATTATGCCATTGTTAATTCTTAAGCACAGTTATTGCATTTGGGTTTGCAATACAAATAACCTTCATTTTCTGTGTTGCTTATCTGCCTTTATGAAATACATGCAGAAGGCAGTTCTTTCTTTCTTAGGTGCCATGAATGATGCATGCTTGGGTGATCATGTTTTTTTTTCAATTCCTGACTGACTTAGCAGAAGAATTCTTATATTAGGTTACTGTTATGTTCTGCAGTATACCGATTGCCAACCAAAGCTATAGGTCCCAGTCGGTCCTTCTATTTATCTGGAGAAGAAGAGGATTCATACCTTTCCCAAGTGTATTAACACATAAATGAATGTAGTGGATGTGACTGGAATTTGAACTCGGCTCTCCAGTTGCTCAGTCCAAGCCACTATCCATTACGCCACGGTGGTGTAATGGATAGTGGCTCGGATTGCAGAATCGGAGAGCTGAGTTTGAATTCCAGTCACATCCATTGCATTCATTTACGTGCTAATACACTTGGGAAAGATATGAATCCTTTTTTTTCTCCTCCCAGCTATGGGTAAATAGCAGGACAAATCAGGTTCTATAACCTTGGATGGCAACTGGTCTACCACAGAAAGAAATGGCAACCTACCGTGGGGAAAAAAATCTGCCTCGGCAGTCATGTTTCAAAGGATACATGATTGCCTAAGCGTATATCACACATGGCACATAACTGACTGATATTATATAGAATAGAAATTTTGGTGGTATCTAGGTCTGATTGTTTTTCTATTGAATCTTGATTTCAAAGTACTTGATTCCATATTTGTATATTTTAAATTTTGTATTAGTTTTCAGAAACCTAATCTATTTTACTATTTCTTATTACTATAAACATTATTTTTAGCTGACAGATGTTGACTTCCCTGTTACTTTGAATTGTGACACTGATGTCAACCAGCATTGAGATCAAGAAGTTATATTAAAGGAAAATGCACTTCTCAAAAGGGATCAAACCAGTACTTCCTTTTTCAATCAGTGATATATCTCCCAAAGTCTATATTGCTAATTTTTATTTATAGTAAAAAGGAAATAATGTCAAATTAAAAAAAAAAATCCAATAATTTCTTAAAAAATACTTTGCTATATAAATATTTTGGGTTAAATCTGAGTTTCTTTTCACAGACTGCATTGCAATTTTTAAAATTACAGCAAAGATAATCTCAATCAGGAAAAACATCCAGAAATTTATTTACAATCACCTTAATGCATTTGTTGATGCATTGAATATTGCTGTCACCTCTGGTCTAGTGCTTCTGCTGTGTATTTAGAGATTCTTAATAAAATCCAAAGAAGAATCTGCAGTGTTATTGGTCCTGACCTGGCATCTCAGTTTCAGTCACTTTGGCACCGCCATAATGTATCTTCCCTGTGCCTTTTCTATAAATACTTTAATGGTAATTGTTCTGATAAGCTTTCCTCTTTGGTACCTTCACTTGACAAATTTAAGTTTACTAGATTGGCAGTTAGGTCTCACCATTTTACAGTCAAAATGACTAGATATAACCATAATTTCTATGCTAATGATTTTTTTTCTCTCAGACTTCTCACATATGGAACCTCTCCTCTGGCTTCTTGCTTTGCAGTCAACTTTGATCATCAAAAATTTAAATGCAATGTCAATTATCTTTTTTCTTCTTAATTTTTGTTTTTTTATTGTTCTCTCTCCTTAATAATGTTTTTATTTTCTCTTTCTTTTACACACACTAACATCTTAGTGACCTTATTACATTGCTTTAGGTGAAACGTGTTAAAAAAAAAAACAAAGTAAAAAAAATCACCTATATTTTATTTGTAGAAATCAAATCACAACCCAAGCTTTTCTTCATATGCGTTATGCCCGAACGGACTGTGCCTTGATGTGTTCAGCTGATGAAGACTGTAAACCTTACAAAGGAAGTAGTAAATATGGAAACTTTAAGAAAGCATTTTTGAACAGGTCAGTCGATGTGAAATTTCCCTTTTTTTTTTTTTTTTCTTTTTTTTTTTTTTTTTTTTTTTTTTTTTTTTTTTTTTTTTTTTTTGTCCTTTAAACCCTACAGTGTCTTGTAACCTAAAATGAAATATGTCTGATCATGCAAATTAACCTGTTAACTGTTTACTGTTTTATGAGCAATCATTTTATTTTTTTATTTTTTTTTTAATTTGGGTTCTGGGAGAATAAGAACTATGAACTGGATTTATTTTGTGCATTGTGGCTGTTTGATTTCTGCTGTCACTTATATAGAAAACATTATTCTTTTCTTTGTCTTCTATGTGTTGTGTTCTTTCAGGAAATTGGCAGTCAGTCATGGCTCTCCACAATTTCCTGTCCTTTGTAGCTCTTTTTAAATTTTGTTTTTGGTTATCTTTCGTAAACCCTGTTGTTTCATCCTCTTACTCAAGTTCATTCTTCTTCTTCTTCTATGTGCTGTTCCTCTTCAAGACATTGGCAGTCATGGCTCTCCATAATTTCCTGTCTATTATAACTCTTAATCAATTTTGTCTTTTTGTTATCACTTTTGAAACTTGTAATGCCATCCATTTACTCAAGCTCATTAAATAGGTTACACACTGCTTTCTTCTGTACCCCCTTGCATTCAGTCTGTCCTGTGAGTATCAAATTTTCCAAAGCCTTCTTTCCTCATTATGTGCCCTAGAAACTTTAACTATCTCTTTCTGTTAAATCTCTTCTTCATCTGTAAGGCGTTCAGTACTCTAATTGCTGTTAAAAGTATCTTATTTATCACATGTACATTTTATTTTTCTCAGATATAAATGGATAGATTAGCAGATATATAATAAATGATGAATACAATATGGAAAATTTCTGCTTTGGTATATTTTGCTAATGGACTGGCATCATCAGAATAATAATTTCATTTCACAAGAAAACAATCTACTCAATAATAGAGGATGGAAAGTTCAAAGCCAAAATCTGAAAACACATTGGAATAATGAAAGACACCTTCCAAAAGCGAAGCAAAATACTAAGAAACAAAAAAAAATTAATTAGAAACAAAGAAAAGAGTACTGAACTGTTACATAATATCAGTCCTCGTATATGGCACTAAATGCTGGACAATTTCTTTGCAGATGAAGTAGAGACTTGAAGCAACAGAAATATGGTTCTACAAAAGGATGCTGAGAATACCTTGGACTGAACACATAAGCAATGACAAAGTTGTAGAAAAAAATGGAAACAAATAGGACACAGAAAGAAATAATTAAAGCTTTTTGGGCACATGATGATGATGAAAGAGGGCTTGGAAAATTTAACATTCACAGGATATATTGAAGGCAAGATGGACAGAGGAATGAAGCACATAACCCACCTAATGAACTTGTATAAATGGTTGGCAGAACAGAGTTTAGGAGAGATAGCAAAAAGACAAAATTTATTAGGAGCTACAAAGGGCAGGAAATGGTGGAGAGTAATGATCATTAACATCCTGAAGAGACATGGCATATAGAAGAAGGAAAACAAGCTTGTATAAATGGTTGGCAGAACAGAGATAGCAAAAACACAAAATTTTCTAAGAGCTATGAAGGACAGAAAATTGTGGAGAGCCATGATTGCTCACGTCCTGAAGAGACAAAGCCCATAGAAGAAGAGAATCCAGACATATTCTCTTCTATGTACAAGAAAAAAAGAGTATGTATAAAATGTGGTTTCATATGTTTGGGTTATATTAAAAATAATTTTTAAAACAATAAAAATTGCCTAAGGAATATGTGGTGATAGTTTTGTCAAGATAAAAACCACCTTTTTAACATTATTTTTTTGTGTCTATATATGTTAAGCTTTGCCATAATATCGTATTAAGTCAAAACAAATTAAAAAAATTATTTTTAAGTTTGATGCTACACGATAACTCCTAAAATATATATATATATATTTTTTAAACTTTTTTGGCAATGTTTAACCTTCATACTGTTACAAATTTGCAACATATAGAGATATGAACCCCAGGTTCAAAAAAAGAAAAATAGTGTTCACTCAGATAAGAACACACAACACAGGTGTCAGTGAACAACAAACAGATGACGGTTTATAAACAATTTTATATAACAAAAACAACGGAATATGGAAAGAGTATGGGATAACAGACATAAAATCAATAAAAGCCACTTATTTGTGATTCATGAATTTGTAAATTCAAATGTTCATAATGGCAAACAAACAGAATCTCTATAAAATGTTCAAATAAAAGTCAATAGTTCTTCTTTCCACAATATAAGAGAGATGCTGGAATCATACATGTATATCATTTCCCTTCTGGTAATCAAATTACATCCAAGATGAAATTGAGATGATTTCTTCAAGTATAATGTTCTCTTCTCTACACATCAAGTAATCAAATAAAGCCAGTGTCTTTGAGAATAATATCTTTTTATTCACTACACATCAAGTAGTTGAATAAATCCAGGATCTTCAGAAATGGTACCTCCTTATTCCTTACACAACAAGTAACAGAATAAGTTCATAAGTGCATTTCTAATGAGTGCACGGTGAGAGTCAATTTTCTCATGACCTATCATCGTCAGAGACTATGAAAAAACTGAAAATACAAATTAACAACCCACTTGGTGATGCATGTCACATGGGCTTGGGTGACTGACTTTTACTTACTCCTTTAGGAGGTCAATCTGTCGAGTTGTCAATGCTCTTCTGCTATTTCTCAATCTAGACAGGAAATAAAGAAGAGGAAACACAAAGAAAATATGTTCCTTAATAAATTGATCATACGTCAGATTTAACATTCAGTATTGAGGGCCATGTCACAGTAACCACAAAAAAAACTGAGTCAAAAGGGAATAACTATTCTCTTGACATCGTTATTACTGTATGCACTTTTAGCTCCCTCAGCACTGTTTATTTACAAGATTATAAAAATATGTGAACCAAATACAATGCAATATTTATTATTTACATTTTATAAAGATTTATTATTTACCATTTCATAAAGAAATAAATTTGAAAAGAAATCTTTTTATTAAAAAAAAACAAAATTATGAAAATATGTAAACCAACTACAATGCAAGATTTATTATTTACCATTTTATAAATAACTATGAAAACAGTTTTTTTGTTTTTTTTTTTCAATCTAATAAATAAATAGGGTTTAATATCTTGTTGTCAATTCTCAAAAATAAAGAAAATGTATAAATCCATTTTTATATGTTTGAGTTTTATTAAAAATTTAATTATTGTTTTTTAAAAACAATAAACATTGCCAATGGAGACAAAAATGTATAATCATCATCATGGCTTGGCTTCCCAAAATGAAGATCAAGAGAGAGTCTGTACACATCACTTACAGGCACGATTGTGACTGTTAAGTCCAATGTGGGACAGGCAGTGGTATCAAGGGAATAACCTTCCTTTTGACATTCTGTTTTTTTTTTTTTTTTTTTTTTTTTCTGGTCACAAAGGTTAAACAATGACGACTTTATATTCAGGTACAAACGAGAGTTTGGCTTCACTATTGAAAACCGACCAATCCAAGTTGATGATATCCGTGTTCGAGGAGTCGGAAGCAGTATGGTTGAGTCAAATGAAACAATTGCAAGTTCAACTGACACTCCAGTTCCAGAAAAGGTTAGTAGAAAGAAAAGATTCAGGTAATTTATGAGCAGATGCTAAAGATCTTAAGAGTATAATAGTGTTGGCGAAAGGTGGGGAAAAACAAACACTGACAGCTATTCTCATAGCTATAAGCCCTGTAATTATCACGTTCAGACTAATTGTTTCCTTCTTTATGTGCTATGTCTCCTCAGGACATAAGCAATCATGGCTCTTCACAATTTCCTGTCCTTTGTAGTTCTTAATAAATTTTATCTTTTCATTATTTTTCCTAAACCCTGTTCCACCATCCATTTATTTAAGCTCATCAAGTATGTTAGGTGCAGTTTTTCTCTGTCCCTCTTGCACTCAATCTGTCCTGTGAGTGTCAAATTTTCCAAGCCCTCCTTCCTCATTATGTACACCAGAAATTTCAACTTCTCTTCTTGGTGTTAAGTATAATTTTCCTTTTAGTTTCTATTCTTTTTTTTTCTGAAACCTCATCATTGCACAATGGTATCCTCAGCATCCTTTTGGAGAACCATATTTCTGTTGCTTGAAGTCTCTTCATCTTTGAGGAAATTGTCCAGCATTCAGTGCCAATAGAACAGATATCACGTAACAGTTCAGTAGTCTGTTCTTTATTTCTAACAAAGTTTTTCTGTCTCTTAATACTCTGCTTATCTTTTGGAATGCATCTTTGTCTATCACAATGCGTCTTTGGATTTCAGTGTTGCACTTTCCATCCTCTGTTAGAACGCTTCCTAGATATTTAAATTTTTGTACTTGTTTGATTTTGGTCTCTCTGATTTGTAATTTGCATTTTGCACTCAACCTTTTGCTAACAACCGTGCATTCTGTCTTTTTACAGTTTTTATGTTCAGTCCTTTCTTTTTGATTTCCTTCACTTCAGCATAAAACTTATTTTTCATCATTGGATTGCTAACTGACATAACTTCACTCTATCTACACTATTTACATTATTCAGACTATTTTCCTCATCTTTGTTGCCGTATTTATCACAACATTTCAGCCGTTGTATGCTCTGGCCTTCTTCAGGTGGTTGGAATGTCGAACTAAACCCTTTATTTCGATCACTGGGGCCTTTATCCACTGTATCCTTAAAGACACATGGCACAGTGGATAAAGGCATTGGTTAGATCCAGTGACAGAACTCAGAGTTGTGAGTTCAATACCAGGTTAAGGCAATGGAGAACATGGAGAAGTGAATTAACAGGAAATAACTGATAACTGACATCCATTAGACATGGCATGTAGAACTAGAAGAGTCTACCCCAGCGAGCAAAATAAAGGGTTCAGTTTGACATTCCAACCACCTGAAGAAGGCTGGAGCATACAATGGCCAAAACATCATAAATATGGCAACAAAGATGAGGACAATAGTCCGAATAATGTAAAAAAATATAGAGATTCTCTCTAGCTGTGTATTCCAATTGTAAGGAGGAAGTTCCATTTTAACTTTGTTAAACAGACATGGATGCTATTCTTATTACAATAATCTTAACCTTTCAAGTTAATGGTCAGTCATTATCTATCCTCTTTATCATCATAATCTTCACTTCCTACAACTTCCTCTTTCATTCATATCACACAGCTCATTCATCATTACCATTTTAAGAGTAACCCTCTGCCTTGAGTAGATCTCAAGCCTTATATTCAGTGAATTTTAGTATAAAAAAAAAGAGCTGAAAAGTGAAATCCTTGCTCACTTGATGTCTGGGATTTTATTAGGCAAAATGATTTGCATATGCAGCATGTTAATGTATGTAAATCAGTCATACCTACATTCTTACCTCCACCAGTATAGCACCTGGCAAGATAGACAAGCAACACATAATAATTTCCTTTTTTTGTTGACAAGTTAGGTCACTACTTAATCTTCCAAGTAAGTAACCTTAATTAATGATCTGTTCATTTCTTCATCACGTCATGTGTTGGTAATGCATACTCAGGCAAGAGATCTTTAGTAGACAGATATTCTAACACTTGTCAGTTAAATCTTGAGCAAGTCTTTAATTTCTTATCAATATACATTCATATACTTATAATATCTGCCCATATACCTACAGTATGTATCAAACATCTTGCACTATCCAAAATATTATGTCACAAGTTACCATACTACTCATAGATCTAATGATAATTTGTACAGTACAACGCCATTACTGCTGAGGTTCGTAAAATGTCATCATAAAAAAACAAACTCATTCTGCATATTACAATAATTATGTCTAAGCAGTACCATTGAAAATTTGATGCTTTTAGAATTTGAATTTTCTGATTAATCATAATTCTAAATTGTTGATATGTTTTGTCCCCTACTCTCATGGCCAAAAGAGAAAAAAGAGGCTTAGATTTTGTGCTTAGATTCTTCAGTAAGAATATGAAGCAAACTTGGACCTCTGAGTTCACAGAATAACGTAGTGCCAAAAGGATGGTTTTTCCATTCTATTATTTTAACGACCTTTCCTCTTTGTCATTGTTTATTGTTTTAAAAAGCAATGATTAGAATTGCAATAAAACCTAAACATATGAAAGTGAATTTATACATTTTTTTTTCTTGAGAACTGACAACACAAATAATAAATACTATTTATATATTAGATTGTTTATTGGAATGGTTGGCAAAATATTGGCTAATTACCAATTGATTGAAACTTTATAAACATGGTAAATAATAAGGATTTCCTTATAGTTGATTCACATATTTTAATAATTTAGTAAATGTTTATAAATTTATTAATAATTGTTTTCATATTTATTTCTTTTTAAATTGGCAAATGATAATGTATTGCATTGGCTTTAATTGTATTCATTTTTAGAATGTAAATATAAAATTATTCTAGTAATTAAACAGTCTAATAGTGTTTTGATATTTTTGTTGTAAATACTCAAGAACAAAAAAATTGTATAAATTCACTTTTTTATCATATTTAGGTTTTATTACAATTTTAGTCAATGCTTTTTAAAACTAAACATTTCTGAGGAGTGAAGGGAGTTAAAATAATATCAGTGTCATGAGAAAAAACTGTCCTTTTGACATTCCACTTTTTCAAGTTTGTCAAGTATATATTTATTGTTGAAATTACTTGTTGAAATTATCTATTTTCAATATTATGATTCTGTTACTGTTGTAGCTTTTTAAATATTTTAATACATTTTAATAAAAATTTTTTTGTTCTAAATACATTTCTGATGTGAGCTTTTTTAAAATCAATCTGCTCATATAGCAGATTTTGTTTTGCTTATTTCATTCAGTTATTAATATATTCATTGGTTATGATAGAAATTGACATTGATTTGGAAAGTGCATTTGATTTCTGGTTAACTTTATATAAATCATTTGCAATCTGATCCTTTTCAGATTACCAAGTGCTATTTTGAAACTGGTTTCTGGGACACTGCTGTTTACTTTCTGACCAAGCTGGCCGCTGGGCATCAATTGACTGGACCAGCAATCATCATTGACAAAAACAGGTGAGAACAGGGAGAGCTCATAAAGCAAAAGAGAGAACAGGATTAATGGACTATTGGGTATCCCTACATCTTGAATACAGAAGCACAAACTGAAATACACCAGATCCAAATTATTTTAAATGATAGTTTTCAAATTTCATATAAAACTGAAATTACTTGTTGAAATTATCTATAGAAAAAGTATTTTCACTATTATGATTCTGTTACTGTTGTAGCTTTTTAACACAACATTTTATTTAAAAACCAACAGACAACAACAGCTCTAATATATATATATATATATATATATGCACACATACATACACATACAAGATGCAAAGGGTAAATTGTTACCATTCTATGTTTTTAATTTTGCATATGTGTGTTGTTTGTTTTCGATTTTTTTTTTTTTTTTTTTTTTTTGACTGAACATTATAAGAAGGTCAGTTGGGCACCGTCTGTGAGGAAAAAAAGCACCATGATGTAATTCACTCAAAACACTGTACTGATTGGCATTTGTACCAGAAGCTCCAATATGAACATTTCAGAGTGTTTGAGTGTCAATCTGAGGAGAGTACACAAGATTCGGAAATAGTTAGATGAACCTAATGGCGATTACAAAGGTACAGCAGCTCAGAAAACTCACTCTAATCATTCTGTTAAGAAAAGAACTCAGGAATTTGTTGGCAAGGGCCTCAGACTCAACATGGAGGCCTACATCAAGTGCTTTGAGAAGGTAGTGCTGCCCTGGGTCAAGAGAGTGGCTGCTGGAAGACCCTATGTCTGGCAACTGGACTCTGTATCATGCGACACGAGCAGAAGAACCCAGTTATGGCTCTCGGACAATTGCTACAACCACATCAACTGTAATATCTGGCCACCTAACTCCCCAGACTGCAACCCTCTTGATTATTATGTGTGGAGTGCAGTTGTGCGAGAGACCAACAAAACTCCTTGTAACACCAAAGATGAACTGAAGGCAAGGATTATGGTAGCACTCACCAACTTAAACAAGGAGGCCATCCAGAAGCGATATTATGGGATAAATTTACTCCTTCGTATTTCAAGATACTTTTGTATAATTTTGGTAAATATATCTGTTAAAATGAGATGTCAGTATGATTTTCATTTTTGTGGAATTTAAACGACAATTCATCCATAGCACCCTGTATATCCTCATTGGTGGAAATCATTGCCAATTATTGTTGCTCATAGATATTTCCTTCTGTATGAAATGAGTCCTATGTTGGATCTGAAGAGATGTCTTCAGCCACTGCATGGCAGGGTAGAAAGGTTCTAGAAATAGAGAGCTCTGTTTTTTCTTTGGGCTCTTTTCATCACTTCTATTTGTCTTCTGCCGTTTTCAAAAGATGGAGAAGAGGACGTGAGAAGAAGAAAAGTCTTTGAGCATGATGTGAGAAGAAGAAAAGTCTTTGAGCATGAATGCTTTGACTGCAAATTGTTTGAGGTGGTCCATGGGTCACTGTTCCATTGCTCACACACTTCAGTTGACACTATCCACCGTGGCAAACCAAGACCTAACAGGCAGCTTGCATTGGTCTGCTAACTTGTCTATATATATGTGACACCCAGCCATTGGCCCGTGGTCAACTTCCAGTCATGATGCGAAACTGTAATCTTTCTTCTACTGGCGTTCTGGGGTTGACTCTTTGTCACCGCCACCAGCCTGTGTTCCGGTTGATCGATGGTCATTGCTACTTGGTGAAATCCCCTGGTCAGGATACCAATATGGGACACTGGCCCATCCAGGGTCGAATTCTGGTCGGCGATGTTAACGGCTTCACCAGCTGTACCGATTCAATACCAGCTCTATTGTTCCCAGCTCACTTGCAACGTCTGGTTACTGGGATAACTGCTTTGCTCTTAAGTCTAACCTACACACGTTGTGACTTTGATCTTAGGTAGATGAGATCCAGCAGGCATTGGGCCATAGTGTAAGCTGAGTCCGGACTGAAGGTGGTATCACACAAGCGCAAAGGAAAAAAAATAACTAAAAGAAAAACCCAAGAGGTTCCAGTATGTTAAGAAATAACAATTTAAATTTATCCTTCTGTTATATACAGGAGTGTGTTTTTCTCCCAGCCCATTTTCTATGAAATGTGACACTTCTATGTTTTCAAGCAAGTTGGTATCTTAAGTCAGCTGATTTAGTTCTTAGGTGCTGGCTTGGTTTCGTTCGTCAGTCTAACTTGCTGTTGGTAGGATAGGCGAAGTCGGAGGTCGTGGAATCTCTTGGTCAGCTTCTGCGAGGCAACGCTCTGGTTCCTACTACTTGAACTCACTCCAACTCAACTGACTGTCTCCAACTCAGAACTCCAACTGACTAACTGCCCGAGGACATTCGTTTATATGGGTACCGACCAAAACCCAGTGTGGGGCCAGACGCGGCCTGGGGTTCTTGGTAAATCTCAATTCCCAACAAGAAATCTTTTTTTTGTCAGGCCAAAAAAATTGATTACTTCCCATTTTTGGAAAATTAATCACTTTCCATTTCGGTGGGGTCTCCCTCATCCATGAGGGAAGGTCGGAGGAGAGCTATCCTCCTAGACTCTTCCTCCCTCACATTGATATCTCATACCAATCCCTTCAGTGGGTCTATAATAAATTCTTTGTCCTTCTCATCCATTCACCTCCGCCTATCACCACTGCTACCACTCGACCAATGGCATTCCGGCCATGCAGGTGTGGCTAAGCTAGCCTCCTTAAAATTATAATCCAGAATTTTTGTGTACAAAATTGACTTTTTTTTTCCCATCAGCTAAAATTTTTACGAATTCACATTGCCACTTAAATTTCTATCATATCTTTTGGCCACCTAGAATTAACTTAGCCAGCACTCTCTACCGACTCCATCAATCCCTGTCAAAGTTTGCCATCGAGTCCCTTCATGAAGTTAGCTTTATAATGGAATCCTTGGCATGTTGAGAAATTAAATTCTTTTATCTTGCCAAATCTCAATTCTCCACTCTATTTTTCAAACGCCATATTGATATTCAACGTTTCAGCGTCTGAAGGGACACGTTAATAAGGTAAATAATAACAATCCTCTCACCTATGTTGAGACAAATGCCAAAATTTTATAATTGCCACATTGCTTTTCCTCTATGGTGGCCAAAAAAAAAAAAAACAATATCTTGGAAAGATAATTAATATTGATTCTCTCTGCCTGTATAGGCGATTGTCTCAAGCCAAAATTTTTATGACCGCCATGATCTGGCCGATATTTTAATATTTGCCTTACTTCCTATTTCCCTCGGCAAGACATTAATCAACCTGACAAAACCTCACATATGGCTTTTTCCATGGGTTTACTGTCTTTTGTGAAAAGTATCTTTTTTGTAAATAAAATAAAATCTTTTTTTCTTTTTTTTTTACATCGATTAGTCTATCTTTCAGCATAGCTCTTTTTCGCCTTAAGTATTTCCTGTTTTAATTTCTATGGTTAATTAGTTACCCAATTACCATAGCTAAATAGTGTCACACACACACACACACACACACACACACACACATATATATATATATATATATATATATATATTATGAAATAGATAAAGTTCGACAATTATTTTAAGATATTTTTATGTTTATACATTCTTTTATAGATACAAATATTTAAGTAAATGCTCTGTTTATAATAAACAGTATTAAACAACATTTACCGGCCCAAATGTCTGAGAAATTTTCATAGAAAATATTTGTCTGACAGGAATTGAACCTGTATACAGAACTGTCATATAGCCTGACGTGCCTTTAACCAATTGGGCCACAGAGGAGTGTTCAGTTAGCAAGGTCAATTTTACTGTCTTTAACCTACAATCTTCTCTGTTTCTCTCACGTACATTCATATCTGCTCATGGCATATCCAAATGTAAACAAATGATGAAACACATTATGAAATGGACAAAGTACGACAATTATTTTAAGACATTGTTATGTTTATACATTCTTTTTTATAGATACAAATATTTAAGTAAAAGTGGATTTCTTTACATGTCTGTCAGACTTGATAATCTAGTAGGAAATTTAAACCCAGTCATTATCCAATACTTATAACTGTATACCTTTTGGAAGCCTCTGAAAAAAAAGGATACTAACAACTTCCAGCACTTGAGTAGAAGCATTAGAGCTACAAAATGACACCAGTTAATTGCTCAAAAGACATGTGGTTGAGTGGATATCTAGTTTCCTGGTTGTTGTGAGTTCACTCCCTGGGTCAGATAGTGCGGAAAATTCATAGTCTTTGAGTTATTACAGTCTCAATCTCCAAGGATTTATGGTTATGATGCAATCTCCATTAATCTTGATATGACTTAAGCCATTTACTTCATACATACGGCACAAATGGTGTGGCAGAAGAATACATTGTTGCAATAGAGACAAGATCTTACTCTTCTTCATCTCATCTACAGAGAGCCAATGACATCACTGTCAATAAATATACAAGAAATTTCCTTTCATAATATATATTATCTTAATTTCATTATATGTATTATATTTATGTTCACCATTTGGGCAGGAGCTACCCAGTCCTCACTTTCCAGTCTTTATAGAATTCAAAAGCATTTCAATGTCCTTGGAGAAGAATTATTTTCCACCCTCCAACCTCTCTCTCACAGGTGGGATGTGGTGAGCCACTCACTGTTTTATTGCTACTTCCATGAAAAGTGCTCCATTCCTTGGCTCTGCTATGTCTAACCTTTACGGCTAGGACCTTCCAGGTCTAACCTTTATGGCTAGGACCTTCCAGGTCTAACCTTTACGGCTAGGACCTTCCAGGTCTAACCTTTACAGCTAGGACCTGCCAGGTCTAACCTTTACGGTTAGGACCTGCCATGCCACTTACATTGTAGCAAACCTCCCACATTCCCTCCATATTTTGAGGTGAGAAGTAAGTTCCACTTGAACAGCTTCTTCCAGTGAATCACTGCTCTGTGGAATAGACTCCCAAGAGGATGTTTCCCTGATCACTACAATCTTAACCTGTTCAAGTGTCAACCATTATCTTCCTTTCCTATACTATATGTATAAGAGAGGAAGACTTGCCCATAGTGTAACTGTCTATCATGAGTGACCCCTGGGCCTTGTACAGGTAAACATTATAGTAAAAAAAAAAAAAAAAAATGTGTTTTTTTTTGTTTTTGTTTTTAAGTCCTAATTATGTGTTATACTACCTATTCTATGGTAATGGACTCTCCCATAGACAATAAGAAGTAGTAGCAGTCGCCAGTGCGGCTCAATGGTGTTTAGAGCATCAGACAACATCGGACATTGAAGTACCAACCATCACAACTAGATTGCTGTGTCAACTCTTATTTTCAAGTTCCTAACATTTTGTACATTGAACCTAATTTAGGACGACTTCTTGAAATACAAGCCGCCACTGTGAAAACTACTACACAACATTATGTTAACATATGTCATAGAAATGTGTTGTTATATCCTAGCTTATTACTATTGCATTAACATGGGTGAGTGACGTAAATGCTTATTCATCAAAAATCACTGGTAACTTCTGACTTAAACAGAAAATCACGTCATGATGCATCATATGAACATAACTCTGTTATAAGTCAAGGAACCTGTGTACACTGGTTTAAAAGAAGAATCAGACAAGGAACACAAACTCAA